GAATGTGAGGATTACCCATTGATTAGAACATGTCAAGTGTCAACTAACAAAATTTTGAGAAGATCAATTATTTAGTCATTATACTTTTGATTCGATTATAATTTAGTCTATAAAATTTAGTTCAATGCAATTTAATTTCTCAATACTTAAATTTTATTTTTTTGATTTTCAAAAAGATTGCATGATTTTTTTTAAAAAAAAAATATAGGAACTAATAAGTTAAAACTTAAGACATTAGAACTTAAGAAATTGTATTATATATCACTAGATCAAAGCACTGAATGGTTAATTTTTCCAATATCATATGCCTAACAACTAGACTAAAACGGATCTAGAGATAACTACTATTTCTTTTACCATCAACGCATAAATATTAAGATGCCTGATGAAATCAAAATGAATAGAGATTTCTATAGACGAATCAATATTAGAGATCAATCTAATATATTCTCTAAAAGCAGTTGTTTTTTTTAAAGAAATTGCTAGCAAGATGTTGCAACTATCTTTACAAAATTCAAAAATCTAATTAATCATAATCTCATTTCTACATATATTTGACTATTACTATTTTGCAAGGAACAAAAAACCGGACCGGGAACTAAACCGGTCTAGACAGTGGGTTAAGGGTCACTGGTCGGACCGGGGTCAGACCGGTTATATTAAAATAATAAAATTTAATTCATAACATTAAAATAGAACAAAATTCACAAATAATAATCACAAAAAAAAAGCTACTAAAGTAGTTTAAATGTTTAATTATACCAAACGAAGATTAATAAAATACATATCTTAAAATTCATTTTTTTATCTTTTATATTTTTATCATAATATCAAATTTAAAAATTTTTTGAATTAATTCAATTCAGACTTTTTTTTTGGTACAATTCAATTCAGACTTGATACAACAATTTACCAAGACGTTGAAGTAGATGGAAATTGTAGTTAATCACTGAATATGCAATTCAGTTGCGCGAGTTTTACTGTGGAAACAAGGCAGTAGATGTTCACCCACAAGCCAAACATTCACTAGGTTCTATCTTTTATAATTTTATCATGATACAGCTCAATGCATGTACCAAAGGTGAAGCTTCTGTGAACAGCGAAGGCAAAACAGAACATCCTTCAACCATAATGCCAGTGAACTGTGACTTGCCGTGCAACTTGCGATGTGAGCTGTGACTGCGACAGGGAAGCACGATGCCAGTGAACGGCGAAGGTGAAGCAAGATGTCTGTCAGTGAATGGCCGAACTAGGAGGTCCGCAATCAGCAAAGGTATGGATTCCGAAGGAGGGAAAGGCTGGAATCTAGGAGAAGGAGCAAGGTGATTCTGCAATTTGGGGGGAGGCGATTTTCAGATTTGGGAAGATGAGAGGATCGAAGATGAAGCTGGATGAGACTTGAGAGTGAGGGCCGAAGGAGATTTTGGTTGAGAAATTTTTTTTTTAAAAACAGAACGGCGTCGTTTTTAAGCTGGCTCAGTAAAAAAAAAACTAAACCGGGTAACCGGTGGTTACCAGTTCAGCGTTGGTTTTGACTGGTTGAACCGGTTTTTCACCAGTTCAACTGAGGACCGGTTTTTTAGGTGAACCAGACCGGATTGGTGACCGGTTCACCGGTTTTCCAGTTGAACCGGCCGGTCCGGTCCAATTTTTTTCTCCTTGCTATTTTGATCATTTTGGCCAACTTAGGTGGTAAAGATAGAGCAGTGAAACATGTTTGTGATAAATAATTCAAAAGCAACTAGCTCTGGTTGACGCGAGAGGTCTATTCTATACCAAGGATATTAAACTCTGTTGTTGACATGATATATTTCTTTTCTTATTATAAATTTAGTGTCATTTTAAACTTGAGATTAATGTTTATCATTTTAACTAACAGTTTTGTTGGTCCATTGTATATTTCTTAGACAAAAAAAGGCTTCTTGTGCAAAAAAAAAAAGTCTAGTATTTTTTTTCAGAATTTAAAATTTTAATAAAATGAAAGTTCAGATGTTAATTAACAAAAATAATGCTACATTTATAAATTAAAAAAGCACTGATACAGCATGTTTTCCACTTGATCTATATTTCATTGAAACTAAAAAGCAAAAAGTGCTATAATAATTTTGATAAACTTGTTTTTTCAATCAAAACATACACTGAACTGAATTTTAAAGCCACACAAACCGAATTATTTAACTAATCCAAGGAATTATTTTCATTACATTATTTCTATCTCCGTCAGTTAATGAAGAAAATGTTTCTTTCATGTCAAAATTCCAAAAGTGATGCCTCATATATTTGCCATGGATGCTATTTTGAGCTCTCATATTAAATTGATATTTTTACCACATAAAAAATGAGCAATTAAACTAAACATAATAAGAATAACCGGAATCAATATAGATTTTATGATTTAATAAAATCCAAATATATTCCCCATGATTTATGATATAAAAGTCATATCCTTCATGGCCAAAAAAATCCTTGATATCTGAATTAATTTCTGTTGATATAAAATATTGATATTTTTACTTATATTTGTTTAATGCTTATATCAAGTGATATAAAATATAGTTTTTCTCTCTAAGTTTGAATTTGCTGGTCAAAAATGTCAAGTTTAAATATTGTCATAGGAAAGCGTAATCACGCGTGGAATTTTGACTGGACTTTGATTGAAAGTTGAAGCTCGCTGAATTTGACTTTTGGATGATGTCAAAGAACCTAAAGATAAAAAGAACAAATTAATATTAAGATTCTTTGCCGAGTCAAAATTTTCTTTTGGGCACCAAGATTCCCTAACTCACCACAGACAAGATTACAGTTATCATCATGAAGACTTTTGGCCGACAAGTCAAACAATATGCAAATATTTCAAACTCGAAGCGTGCAAATATTGAGTCATATTTTTTCTGGCCTGAATATATTGAGTTATATTAAAATACTAACTTATTAAAAAAAAAAAAAAGGACTAACTATCCTAATTTAATTCTTGGTATAATTTTACTTTAAATAACAAAAAATAAAGGCACTAAAGTTTACATCTTTTCAAGAAGATGAGAGTTTGTTAGCGTTTGGCAATTATGTTGAAGTATAATAATAGGCACAGTTAAAACATGAATAATAGCTTTTGGCGGAATTAACAGGAGGCCATGGAGAAAAGGCCAGACCACAGATCCTGAAATTTATGAATTAAAAACATATTTATCTATGTTAACACGAGGCATGTGAAGTGAACCGTGGAAATCCATCTTTTAATATTACACAATTCTATTTTGTTTTAAATATAATTTTTATTTCATCTTATCTCTCGTATATATATATTTTTTTCTCCAAAAATACTCCTGGTGATGATTATACATGTTAAAGAATTTTTATCCTAATATAAATTATTAATAAAAATAATTTTAGAAAAGACAACACATATTTATTACAAATAAATAACTTAACTAATTTGGTTAATATTTACAAATTAATTATTTAGTTGTTATATAGATTAAAGATAGGAAGTAGTATAATAAGATATTTTACATATACTCTTGTTATACCATTATGTACGTATAATTTAATATAAAAATAATTAAATATAAATTTCTGTTTCCTTTTAAGTTCCCCAATTAAAATATATTAACTATAAAATTTTGATGTTATAGCTAAATCATATATTCCTCTATGCAGTATAGATCCCCTTCATTTATTATTAGCAAAAACAAATAATTAAAGTATGAAATAATATATATTAAATAAGAGGAAGATTGTAAAATTATTAACGTTTAAGTCAAAATTAATGAAATTTAAAATTTTTCTTAGTTCTAATAAAATATATTAAAAGTGTCTTATAAATAAAATTATAACGTTACCATTTATTTTTGATGTTACGGTGTTCCAAAATAACAAATGAATAATCCTTTATAACATGCTTATTTGTTTTTTAATATAAGACCTATTTAATTAATTTAATTAAATTAAAAAAGTCATGTGAGTTAGTTAATTAAAAAAAAAGATGTCATGTTTTTTTTCTAAAATATTATAATTATTTTTCTTAATATCATCTCTCCCTTTCCCTACTTAGTTATGGTTAATGGAGTATTAATAAGAGTAATGTAGGAAAAATTGATAAATATAAGAAATAACTCTTACATTTAGAACTAATATCAACTCAACAATTAGATCTTACATTGAAGACGTATGTGTGTCTATATATAGAGAGAGAGAGCTAGAAATCAAACTCCTAAGTCCTAATGATACGATTAGAGGAGAGGATAAGGATTTTAAGGATACCTTATTTACCACAGAAGGGAAGCTAATTATTCACATATTATTCACCGACATATGAATGATACAATTTTTTAAAAGTTGTTCTTAAGATTGGATTAAGATCCAGATTCTAAATTTTTCATGTTTCATTCCGTTTGTATTATAACATTAACAGTAATTTTTTCATAATATATATGTGTATATTTATATGCTGATCATTATCATTATTAGAAGATCATAATTTTCCATATCTTAAACAAAATTCAACAAAAACTGGGAAATTACACTCAAATTAGTTATATAACAATAACAATTAATTAGATTGCTGTAATGTGTCATTCACATTACAGCAATCTAATTAATTTTATTTAATATAAAATAAAAAAATTTTATATTTTATATTATTAATATTAATATCAAGATGATAATGATATTGAAGAGGGATACCCTGAGATCTTGGGGAGTTTGATCCTCCGTGGTCTTTACCTCACTTGATCAGACACTCTCGTTCCTAGGGACCCCACGCAAGCCCCATCCTCCCAAAAAAAAAAAAACAAAACAAAACAAAATCAATCCTATCATCACTTGAAAAGACGAAGGTCTCAGGTGGTCCCACAAACCGTCGTTCGTGTAATTTGGCGAAAAGATGAGGGCAGTTAGGTAATTGCAATTCAACCTCTGGCTCCCCTTAACTGTCTCACATGATTATTAGAAACGCGTATATAAACACAAGAGCCTCCGCCTTCCTCCTCCTCTTCAGGGGACTCCCATATCTCTGATTTCGTCTTTCATTTATTTTTGTCTCTCAGAAGTCTCTTTCTTTTCTTGGTCATTCTTCTTGTTTTCTCTTCGTTAGCTTCCCTGGGCTGATCGGAGTGAATCTCATTCCAATTTTGTAAGTTGATCTACTTCTCTGTTTTTACAATTGTCTGTGGTCCTTGTTACTTTTTATGATCTGGATATTGCCAATTCTCCATTCTGTAAAATTTTTTTTTGCCTTATAAGGATTGAAATTTAGGGTAATGGGTACTTTCTTTGATCTCGTTGATGCCCAGTTTTCTTGGATCCGTGGTAATTGTGAGGGTGATCGTCATTGGCATAGAACGTTGTCCTTAATTTGTCTCTGTACTTCCTACTTTGCTCTTCATGAAAGTTCTAGCTGAAAAATTAGATCTGAACGTTAAAGTGGGTTCTATATGTTGTTTCAAGTACATTCGTATGCTTGAATCTGGTTGTTGTGTTTGGTTATGTAAATTTTGCCGCATTTTGCAACAGTTTAGCGCAATCTGGGTTTTAACGCTTATTCCGTCTTCCCATCTTGTAGAAAGAGCGCAAACAGAGAGAAAAGCTGAAGTTTCATGTATTCTGTTGTTTTTTCTCATTCTGATAATTTAATTGCAGATTACCGTTGACAATTAGTGTTTTGTCTTTTCATTCACTTTATCTTGGAAGTCCGATGAGCATTGGAGGAATGTACCGATAAAGATTAGAACAGTTATTAGTGGCTCATTTTCTTGTCGATGATGAATTTCCTCATAATTCTTTTTACTCAATCCCCCCCCCCAAAAAAAAAAAAAAAAAGATGTCAGTCTGCTTTTTCATATGACTATTTATGATGATATATGCATCTGTTGTTATGGCTTTGTTTTACTTTTGTATTGTTCATTTAGTGAAATGAATTTTTCTGCTTGTGCTTCTTTTTGATATACAGTGCTTGATATGGCTTCACATACCCCCAAGAATATCCTCATCACTGGGGCTGCTGGATTTATCGCATCTCATGTTGCCAACCGGCTGATTCGGAACTATCCTGACTACAAGGTGGTTGTGCTGGACAAACTTGATTACTGTTCTAATTTGAAGAATCTCCTTCCTTCAAAATCATCTCCCAACTTCAAGTTCGTCAAGGGTGACATTGGAAGTGCTGACCTTGTCAACTACCTTCTCATAACCGAGTCCATTGATACCATTATGCACTTTGCTGCTCAGACCCATGTGGACAATTCATTTGGTAACAGCTTTGAGTTCACCAAGAATAACATATATGGTACTCATGTCCTACTGGAAGCCTGCAAGGTCACTGGCCAGGTCAAAAGGTTCATTCATGTGAGCACAGATGAGGTCTATGGGGAGACAGATGAAGATGCTGTAGTGGGAAATCATGAGGCTTCTCAACTTCTTCCCACAAACCCATATTCTGCAACAAAAGCTGGAGCAGAAATGCTTGTCATGGCCTATGGTAGATCATATGGGTTGCCGGTGATCACAACCCGTGGAAACAATGTTTATGGGCCAAATCAATTTCCTGAGAAGTTAATTCCAAAGTTCATCCTTTTGGCTATGCAAGGAAAGCCTCTTCCAATTCATGGGGATGGTTCCAATGTGAGGAGTTATTTATATTGTGAAGACGTTGCCGAGGCTTTTGAAGTAATCCTTCACAAGGGAGAGGTTGGTCATGTTTACAATATCGGTACTAAGAAGGAAAGGAGAGTTATCGATGTAGCCAAAGATATATGTACTCTTTTCAAAAGGGACCCGGAAACTAGTATAAAATTTGTGGATAACAGACCATTCAATGATCAGAGGTATTTTCTGGATGATCAAAAGCTGAAGAACTTGGGTTGGTCCGAGAGGACCACATGGGAAGAGGGGTTGAAAAAAACCATGGAATGGTATAGTAAGAATCCTGACTGGTGGGGTGATGTCTCTGGAGCATTGCTTCCTCATCCAAGGATGCTGATGATGCCTGGAGGAATGGAGAAATTTTTTGACGGATCTGAAGATGACAAGTCTGAATCTTACGGCTCAACTAATCCTACAATGGTTGTTCCCTCACCCAAGAGTGCTGGTTCGCAGCAGAAACCTCCTTTGAAGTTCTTGATTTATGGTAGAACGGGTTGGATCGGGGGTCTAATAGGAAAACTATGTGAGAAACAAGGGATTCCATATGAATATGGAAAAGGGCGGCTACAGGATCGTGTATCTCTCTTGGCAGATATATTGAATGTGAAGCCAACTCATGTTTTTAATGCAGCAGGAGTCACTGGCAGACCCAATGTTGATTGGTGTGAATCTCACAAAACAGAAACCATCCGCACCAATGTTGTTGGTACTTTAACATTGGCTGATGTCTGCAGAGAGCATGACCTCTTGATGATAAACTATGCCACTGGGTGTATATTTGAGTATGATGCAGCACATCCTCAGGGTTCTGGCATTGGATTTAAAGAGGAAGACAAGCCCAATTTCACTGGTTCTTTCTATTCCAAAACTAAGGCCATGGTAAGTCAGTTTGTGTTCATTATAAACTGTAGTGATAGTTCTATTATGAAATCCTGATGGTGACTCCTGAATTTTTCCCAGGTTGAAGAACTTCTGAAAGAATATGACAATGTCTGCACCCTCAGGGTTCGCATGCCAATCTCATCTGATCTGAACAACCCACGCAACTTCATCACCAAGATATCTCGCTATAACAAAGTGGTCAACATTCCAAACAGCATGACTATCTTGGATGAACTTCTGCCTATTTCCATTGAGATGGCAAAGCGAAACTTAAGGGGCATCTGGAACTTCACAAACCCTGGTGTTGTCAGCCACAATGAGATCCTTGAGATGTACCGAGACTACATCAACCCCAGCTTCAAGTGGACCAATTTCACCCTGGAGGAGCAAGCCAAAGTAATAGTTGCTCCCAGGAGCAACAATGAGATGGATGCATCAAAGTTGAAGAAAGAGTTCCCAGAATTGCTTTCCATAAAGGAATCGCTGATCAAGTATGTGTTCGAGCCAAACAAGAAAACTGGTAAAAACTAGCAGCATTGAGACATCAGAACTCTTCTGCTCTGCAAATTGTCGTCAGATTACATGGCTTTTAGATTCTTTATTCATCATTTCATTGTTAGTTATATGCAGTTACCGGGTGTAGTGGTTAATAATCATGGTTCTTTTCACCTGTCATTCCTAATTATTTAGTGTTGTCTACTGTTAAATAGTTTTATGTTCTCTGCAAACTTGTTTTAATTAATTCTTCTGTTGCTAATAATATCCCATTTTGTCGATCATTCTTGTATCTCCTTGGCATTGAGATATAAATTTAATTTCCTTGTTTCACTAAGTAACCAGTTGATGTATTCGAACATTGACCTTCTATGTAATTACCCATTATTTTTTGTATTATTATTGATGTATATCTATATTCCCTCAACATTCCGTACACTGCAGCATTGAGAATGCCCTCTCTTTTTGTCAATTGCATAACTGGACTACCATAGATTAGCGATAATGAAACATAGTCAAGGGTTGTTTATTTTTTTTTTAAAAATCAAATAAAAAGTACACACAAATAAACTCAGATATAAAACATATGTTTGAAAATGTGACATTCCCGATTCTTAATTTAAGACTCACTTTATTGTGTAACTTGCATTATAAAATAGGTCTTATATAGAATTATTGATTTTGTCATATTTAGATTGTTAGAACATTCTACAAAAATTTAAAGAGTGATTAGAAGGAAGAGTAATTGACGTGAAGAAATTAGCGCTCATTTATTATTTTTCATATTTTTATATTTGTTATTTATGATTTATTATGTTCATGAAAATATTTTTGAGCAGACTAAAATAAATTTGAGCTTCCTGTAGATATAAATTAATTGTATAATGTCAAAGAAAAATTTGAAGAAAATAAAAAAGGTTGGTCAATGGGTACCATAAAATCATGACTCAAATCAATAATGATTAATATTGTACTCACTTTAGTTTGCATGAAGATTATGAGCTTGTTTGATTATATGTTTTTTAGTGGCATGTTCTTAGAATAATTATGTAATGTTTTAGGACAAGTATAAACATATTGCTTTCTAATTAATATTGCAATAAATAAACAATATCTTTTCATAGAATATAAACATGTATTATTTAATTAGAAGTTATAAAACTTTTAATGAACTTATAAAATGATTGAAATATTATTTTTTTAATTAAACAAACACACTAATAATCTGAGTCATAATAATCCGAGTCACAAATGAGATCGAACCTATAAACTTCAACTCATAAGAATTTATATGTCACCAGACCACAAAGTTATTAGTCTGATTGAAATAGCGTGAACAAACATATATCCATTTTGTTCTATTTTTAAAATATGAGAGCACAAAACCAGAAATGGATATTAAAGATCTTATATAAATTTTAGGGTAAAATTGACTATTCACGGACAAAAACTATAAATAATGGATTTTGTTGTTATAAATGTGCTGAATCACAATCATGCAGGCTGCGACAATTCCGAATTCAACAACGGGCGCCTCGGATGGAAACGCGTATGGCGTGTCCCAAACACACAAAATGACAACCACCTACGTTGGCCCCATTCTGTTACTTCCTCCCCTCATCCTTGGCATGATCTATATAATATATATATATATATATATATATATAATAATTCTATTTATAAGATATTTTATTAAATTTTAAATATAAATGCATTATTTTATGTTTTATTTATTATTATGTAAATTGTTATTTTTTTAACGGCTAAAGTTTAAATTTAGTCTTTCAATCTTAGACAAGGTTTCAATCTAATATCTTAACTTTAAAAAGTATATTTTTAGTTTTTTAATTCTAAAATAACTAGTCTTAAATGATAAGCTTTTGTAACAATTATGATTATTTTGAAAATTAAATTTATTATGTTAGCATTTGAGAGTGTTTTATTAAAAATATAAGACCTGAATATTTGTTAATGATTTTAGAGTTTAATAACTAAAAACATCCTTTTAACAATTAATAGATCAAAATGAAACATTGTATAAAATTAAAGAAGGGAGAATTAGAATAAAGGACTGTAGAGAAAAATATTTAGTAAAAAAGATCAGAAAAATTACAATTATTTTAAAGGACTATATATTAAAATATATTTTAGAAAGACTAAATTGCCCATAACTAATCCTTCTATATTTTCTCTTACTGCATCTCAATTATTTGATAGTTAGTGAGTTTTTTTTCCCCCATTGGTTTACCCCCCACTCTACACAGAATTAGAAAACCCTCGGAACTCATCGATAATGACAAAGGGTCCTATGCATTTTGTTATAAACTCTTATCATCTATTGGTGATTGTTTTCTGTCTCTACAATTACAAGTCATATGTATAATTGTAATTAATTTTATAGTCTGACCTTAGGATCTTTACATGTTCTATAGACATTAATTAATATATAAGTTTTAGGAATCAATAGGTGGTGGATAGTTTGGTAGTCTGCAACGTTGGACTGCGAATCATGAGTGAAAAATGGTTCTAAATATTACCTTTTGAATAATAATTTATAAATGATTCTAAATGTCCTATTAATTTTCTCCGAGTGCAGAAGCCATCGAATGAAAACAAGACCAAAAGAATTGCTAAGAGAAATAAGGAAGGGGACAAGGGTAATTTGGTATTTAAAATCTATATTTTAACATTTGGCCCTTTAAAATAATTCTAATTTTTATGATCTTTCTTACTAAATATTTTTTTCTGCAGGTCTTTTGTTCTAATTCTCCAATTAAAAAACTAAAAATATACTTTAATCTTTTCTAAAAATGTACGTATTAAATAAAATTAAAATTAAAAAAATATCATATATAATTTTAAGTGAAACAAGGATATTTTCAAGTTACATTGAACTTGAAACTAATTACTTTCGGACCTAAAATAGTTAAGGAATGACCCCTCTCAACAAATGCATTTCTTGAAATTTAAATTTGTGTTCTCTTTCTTACAGGGGTGAAGCTGCTACCACCTTTAACTAACAGTTTGTTAGTAAAAATCATTATATTTTGAGACAGTTAATGAGATTTAAGTTTTTTTCAAAGTTTCAGATGAAACATGTTGAAAAAAATAGACTTAAAAATGGAAAAAATATACGCACACAAAGGCCTCGTGCAGCAATTTTCTCCAATGTCAGGATGCCGTTAGTATGCAAGGAAGAGGAATTGGGAATACAAAGGCACTAGCCAGTGCAAAATAACTTCGTATTGCGCTTGTTGGAATTATAAATATAGAGCCATTTTCTCTTGGTATTAGCAAGTTACTTCCAACATTTCTTTTATCGAAAACGAGAACAACTTGAAAACATATTCAATCTATCTAAAAATTTAATAAATTTCCTATTTTTCTCATATTAAATACATTCTTAAGAAATTTCAGGCTTTCATGCATTAATATTAAGTAGGGGTAAAAGGAAAAAAACTGTAATAAATAATCAATATTTTTTTCCTCATTCCCCCTTCTTTCCCGCTTGAAGGCAAGGATGTGCAGGATTTTTATGGTCTGCAACAGTAAAGTAGTAATCAGCACTACACATGATCCAGCTTATCATGATCAAGAAGACATGGATCCTTGATCTCCAGCTCATTTCTGTGTCTTCTTCTTCAGTATCATCTCTGTTCAGCTAGAAAAATGGGGTTCACATACTCTAAGCATAATTATCTCCGAACATCCTTAAAATGCCTAAAAGCAATTTAACTTGATGAAGAGTCCAAAGATGCAGCAGCCAGTTTCTTCAGAAAAGCAACCACATCATCTGATGATGATCCAAGCGTATACCGAGCACTTGATTGATTCCGTCCGACAGCACAGGAGAAGTAATTCTCCTTCTTGAGGTTTAGGATATCCCATGAAATTGTTTCAGTTCCAAGGGTTGGGATCCAAGGTGCACTAGAGATCTCAGGATTTGACTTTGGCCTCTGAGCATTACTTTGGGATGCCTTTGGTCCACTTTTACCGGTTGGGGTCCTCAAAGGCAATCTCTTCTCAGCACAAAACTCAACTCTCTCCGTCTCCTTTGCTCGTGAAAGAGCCAAATCAGTCGGAGGGAACGCAGGCTCGAAGAAGGTAAAAACATCTTCATCCTGCAACAAAAGGAACAAATTAAGATTAAGTAATTTTATCCGCTATAGGACCATGAAGAGTGATTAGGATTCTCTCTGTATTATCCGCTTCTCAGAAAATATTAATGTATAGTGCATTGCATCATTTTATTAAAAACAGAAATTCCAGGAAATTATATGAACGGAATTTCACGTACTAATCATTAATTAGAATAGCAAGATCATGAATATAATTGACAAAGGACTAATGAAGATCTAAGTTACCTTTGCCAGAAAATGTCCTATACAAAGGACATAATCAAATGGTGATGTCATGGATTGACAGTTTGCTATTTGACCTAGGATGCGGTCCATAGCTGCTCCCTGATGAAACACATCATGTTGAAGCAAACACTCATATCAGCATAAAAACTTTCAGGTGACCAGAGAATTAAAAAATGTCAATTATTAGAAGAAAGACTTTACCTTTGTTATACCAACAGCACGCACTTCAACAGATCGACTACCATGAACTACATCAACTGTTGCATTAGAGATTGGACCTGTCCAGAGATGCTGCAGCAAGTCTCTCGCTTGCAGTCTTCCAAATTCAACATCTGCAATTGTCATGAGGTATGAGAAACTAAAGTAACTAAGGAAAATAACTAAAATGTCTCCAGAAAGATAACTTAAGCACCTGCATATTTGTAATTCCACACGATTGATGTTTCCCGTTCTTCAAAATGTGACCGAGGTGTTCTTTCCGTGAAGTATTCAATAACATGCTGAAAACACAGGATCAGGATTGTGTTTATTGGAAACATGAAGGAAAATGACAGTAACTGAAACTAAATGCACCTTCACACTGTCAACCCATTCCATATTCAGAAGCTCCGGCATTGTTGACATCCATATTCCTTTTGCAGGGTGTATAAACATACCATTCTCTGCGGCCAACCACAAGTCATACTCCCTAAAATTCTGAAATAGTGGCAAGTTAAAAAGGCGATAAAGCAGTTAATCAAGACTGGCGGATAATGTTTTTTGAAAAAAAGTGTGGCAATTTACCTCCTCTAAGACTACTCTATCACTTCCACTAAGAATAACAACTGTGGTCTTTGGGTCACTGCATAGTTCTGTCAATGGCTGTTTTAATTCTGGATGCACCTCAAGTTCCATCTCTTTAATCTGACCATCTCTTTTCTCGACTGGTTCAGTTAAACACCCATTGAATCCCTATGGTGAGCATCACCAAAATAAGGAAGTGTTATGAATACGGATTCAAAGGGAGTGACTAATCCCAAAAGACTAACCTATTAGGAGAAAAAGTCCCTTGACTTATAAGCCAAACTATACATGTGAGGCCCGAAACTCATAACAAGAAGATACATGTATACGTACACAAAAAGGTGTGTCCACACCTTCACATGCAAGCATGCATGTGCATGTCCGCACACAGACATGCGGATAAATGCATACAAGTTCAAGTGTATACTAGTGTTCATGATTTCTTGGTGGTGAAAAATTGTTAGCAAACTAAAACATCCAAGTTTTTCAACGATAATGGTTCTGCTCTGAAGGTTACAAAATAACAGAAAGCATATTACCTGACTTGTTCTCCATCAATTTGACACAAAATATTCATTAAATATTCATAGATTCCACATAGATCATTTTAGCAAGAGACCATTAGATTCTCGTTTCTAGCTTTAACAAGTTCGGTTGCTCTTTCTAAGACCACCTTTAGAAATGTTGACGCTGTTCGTGTTAGTGACTTCCATCTTTGTATATCAAGGTACTCCAGCTCTACTCCCGCTGCTTGCTTCTATAACCTAGAACTTTTTTCTGAATACTATAACCCTTTGTTTGTTACTACATTAGGCAGCAGCACGTTACCTCACTTCAAAAGACACCCAAACTTTTCCCCCTTCTCACCATATCAGGAAACAATCAAGTTGGTGGCTGGCAGGGAACACTAAGAAAAGGAATTAAAGTAAAGGAAGGAAAAAAAATGCTGAATTTCTATTTTGATGGAGAAATATTTATAGAATCATGGGCCTTGAGGTTAGATGGTGTACCAAAATAATCAACCGGTTAGTTGACTGCAGATAACGTTCCACCACATCCTTGGTTGGAAGTGTGGCTGGAACTCGCCTTGTCCTTCGTTGTTGCTCGGCAACAGTTTGGTTCAGTTCACTGAAAAGTATTCAAAAGATAAGTTACTTCACAGCAGCATTAATAGACAATAAAAGTCCAAGGAAGAGTTCATTTTTTTCACATGACACCAATTAAGGAACTAAAACCCAATATGCATCACTTGATTTTACTACTACTAAATATAGTAATATACAATGCGTAGAGGAGCATGCATTAAGTGAAACGTTAATTTAAGAACGACTACCAGAATTACGGTTCAGAATCTAAACCTGAGACAGCCAAATAAATGGTTATGCATTAAATCAGTATGCTCCGGGAAGTTGTCTCTCACCCATTCTTAAACTTCTAAGTTCCAACGCATTAAAATAGCTATTTTGGTCACTATTCTGTGATATAATATGGATACCTTACAAGAGTTTCTGCCCATTTCTGAGCAGTGTGGGTTTTTACATGAGAAAAGTTACGTCTATGCCTCTTCTCTCTTTCATCAGATGGCATATTCAGAGCCTGGTCAATAGCAGCAGCAACTTCTGTGACGTTCCAAGGGTTAACCAGAATTGCACCAGCACCTAGAGACTGTGCTGCACCAGCAAACTACAGGGAGTATAGCACAGTGAATACATCTAGGTATGTGGATGAGATATGCGGAAAATAATTTTCTTAGACCAGATAGATGTTTTGATCAATCAAGATGAAGGCTGTAAATCCAATCTCATAACATCAACAAAGATAAACAAAATGTCATTATTTTCATCATCTACCCAAGCTGCTTCAAGTGCTAAAAATTTGGGCAAAACAAGTGTAGTGATGCAGGCTGGACACAATCTAAGAAGCATTTTAACTGGTGATTTGGTAGACTGATTGTGTTGGATACTTGGGTATGACAGCATGTAGCAAACTAACAAAAAAACAGTGCTAGTTACGAGGCCTATACGTGGCATGGATAATGGAAAAATGTAAACCCCAGCTTAAGTAGGAGACTCAAGTTCAGAGACATTTTAGTTTTATTTTTTTATTTTTTTTATTTTCTGGCTTATTTTACTCAACTGCCCTTATATTTATGATTCCCTATAAATAGCACGGTAGTATTGTAAGTTTTTCAGACAAGTCAGACCTGTTGAGCATCAGTTGTTTGTATAATCTTCTCTCCCAATTATTTCCTTCATCTTTTTCTTCTTTCACATTTCTCTTTCCATTTTCTCTCCCATATTTGAAAAGCCTGTCAAGTGCTTCTAGACGGTAATGGCCGCTGGGCAAATTAATCACAGTGCATGCAAAGAACAAGAGTGTACACCGAGGGATGGATTTAATAATGATAATCAGAAGATTCTAATCAGGAATCCCAGCAAGGTTGAAATTTTTTTCAACATCTGATTGCATTATCTACCTAACAATAATTAAAAATTGACTTGAGAAATTAAATCCAAGAATGAATACGGAGGTTGATGTGATTACTTCACTAAGAACGAGTACCCCCTTCTTTCTCTCCTGGCAAGCCACATATTCGTAGCTGACAAGATTCATCCCATCCCTCAAAGATGTCACAAGGGCTACATCTGGTTAAGAATTATAAGAGGCAAGTTATGCCACATTAGAAGAAAAGTTACAAAAAAAGGAAAAAGGAAGTCGGAAATAAAACAAAATTAAAAATCAACATAGAAACAAGACACTAACACTTATTAGTAAAACTCCTGAAAATACCTATATCAGAAAGCGATCAGACTCTCAGGCCATAAGGTAACTTATGTCACAATTCACAAAACTTGGTGCCAGAGAAGCAAACCTAAAATGTAACTTCTCCAGGGAATTTCTAAAACTTTTAAAGGAGCTCCATTCTACCTAATGAATTCATACATAAAGGGAAAGGGAAACTATGAACAAGAAAAAAAAAAATGCATATATCATTTTGTACAATCTCTGGCACAGATTAGAAATAAAAACTGATATTCCTAATGGCCGATTTGATTTCGTAAAACATAGCATTGAAATTGATGCCGAGAAGAAAGTTTTAAAAACAGATAATTCCATTTTAAAAGAAGCAAAATATTAACTTCACATGCACAGATGATTAATTGACCATTTGAAAACAGAAGAGACTCATAAGACATCGTAATTCAGGATAGACAAATCACTAAGGTGGTGGGATCTAAGTCAGAGGATCATTGACTGTGAAACTTAATTTAAACAAAATACACCAACAGCACAGAAAGTTTACCAGTTACAGCATACAAAGCACATAGTTCATGAAAATCAAGAGAGCGATCCTGTAGACGGAACAAATGCATCAGGTTATCTAGCATTGTCTTTAATAAGTTCTAGATCAGAAGTAAATAAAAGCAGTAGATAACCAAAAAAATGATGCAATATGGTAAAAGTGTCTTTGTATCACATACCAGTACTGATCTAAACTTAAAAGCTCATAATAATGAATAAATCCTCTACCATTAATCATTCTTGGCTACATTCATTAATTTAGAAAAAAGAGGGAGGCTGCATTTTTAACTTCTAGGGTAAAAATTCAAGGGTGAAGCAGAAATGGAACTGTGCCATCAGTCCTACCAAGTACCGGTGATTGATGACCAATCCATTTGGAAGATTATATCATGTTTTCTGGTCAATAATTGGATGCTAGTACATCTGTTAAAAGTGTAATATCTTGCACACTCCCCAAAAAAAAAAAATTGCTATCCTTGTGCCAAATAAGAGTTAGGAAGCATGAACTGAACCTGCCTAATATATGATTTAGAAGCTCATCTAAGTGTTCTACAAAACCCACTGCTTAATTGTCATGCTCTCTAATGGTGTAGTACTTGACTCTGATATCAATACTTAATAACATAGTTTTCAAGAGAAATAGTTAGTTAATTAGAGTTCAAACCTTACACAGCCATGTAAGAAAATAAGGACGTGAGGACAGTTGGTGAGCTCAGGTTTCTTAATTTTCTATCCATGATCTATTCTTCCATCGTTCAAATTCAATTCCCTTTTCTTCTATTCCACATAGGATTGCTCAACTAAAGTTCTACGATAATCAATTATTGCCATCCTTACCTTTACTTATTATTTCAAAGAATGCTCTATGCACAAAAATCATATTGCTTTACTATAATCGCTAATTATTCAATTTCACTTATTCAGCAATTAGAACCCCCTCACACAAACCTGAAACTGAGAAAATTTGAGAACTCAAACGGGGCTGTTTTGAAACAATGTGACACTAAAGAACTGAGCTGCATAATGATGCTTCGTATAACACCAGGTTCATGTCCTACATTAGAAAAGGTCCCGCAGATCATCTCTTGTTTACAAAATTTCTTCAGCCTCTCTTGGGAAGAAATTGAAGGAAAAGAAAAAATTTATTAAACTTTGTAAGAAGAAAATGCTTTTGTCTTGTTATTTGAAAAGTAAAAGTAAAAATTATGCAATTTAAGCAAGAGGGGATAAAAATGAAAATAATATAATAAAATGAAGAATCAGTCACTACTAATTTATGTTGACACGAATATTTCTAAGATGGTTAATTGTGCAATTTAGGATACTTCCAAGTTCATAGTTAAATTGTCTAAATTTTTGGAAAGACTGATTATGCTGAAACAAGATAATATCACTTTCATTTCTAAGTTGCGTCCCTCCCAATCATTCTCCTCATCTCATCCGTGTTAAATCAGTATTAGTATAAATAAAGTCACATGCAAGAGGTGAATGAGATCATCCAACAAGATTTTAGGTAAAGTTCACAGAAAAGAATGCCCTTATTATGTGACCATGTGTTATTATTACAGTTATCAGATTATCAGTGTTAAGACTGCACCAGGTGAAGTACTGGAACAGCAGTCAGTGATCCAAATCTCCCATTAATGCGACCAACAATTTCATGAACCTGGCTTGTAAGCTTTTGATCTGTGAAAAAGGAAGAAATAAGTTGACTATCAAAATCCAGAAAGCATAAATTAACACCCTACTTCAAAAAGGAGAAAAAAGGCCAAAGAATACGTCAATGCAAACCCAATGTTCAAGAAGCATTCTTTTCATATAATTATGTCCCTCAGGAACAAAAAGAAAGCTAAACAATGGGGATGTCACTGCTACAGTAATATTTTACAAATAATTCAGCTTCAATGAGAAATTACTGCTCATTCAGACCGCACTAGGATTCTTAGTATATAGTAATGATAAATTAACGATTTATAGAGGTTATGCAGAATACGTTTGGCAAACGTTACTATTTCATTATTACAAGTCACAACAACTGATTATGAATATTCAGTAAGAATGAATATGACATGCTATGACTAAATGAATTTATAATGCATGATTATACGCAGTACAAAAATGAAATATCAAAATGCTATTTTCATCTAACAGCAATCATTACATATATTTACATTCCCCCACATCAGTACTATATGCCTGCAAACAACTAAGCTGACAAAGTATGGCAATAACCTCACTTCAGTATGTGTAAATGTGAATTTCAACTTAGTTTTCTGTTTCAAACTTATCAAAAAGGTGGGCCTACTTAGTTCCAAAAGGAAATTATAATTTCAATATTTAAAGACAGCACAGGAAAATATTCTATCACCCAGTGCATGAAGTGACAAAACATCATAGCAGAAGCCAATTCTGAAGAATGCTATACTGTAGAAGCCACAAGAACATGACAAGGTAACGTTATTATCATACATTCAAGAACATCTGTTCTTGTTGGCACAGCAATTTGAACTAAAACTACTTTATCATGCCAATAGGCATTCTCTTCAAGAAATTTTTCAAATGCTAGGATTTTCTGAGGAATTCCCTTAATCATATCAAGACGATCAACACCTAACATTACCTGAAATATCAGAAAAAAGTTAATTAATAAATCATGCCAAACATGTAAATCAGATAGAAAAAAAAAAAAGAAAAAAAAAACACAATGATAGGTCATACCACTTATTTATAGGAAAAGAAACATAAATCAAACAGTAGGTTTTTCAGGACAAATATTACTGAGTTACTGGAACAAAGTAAAAAAGTACACCTTTCTTCCTTCAAATCTTTGTTCGAAGTCTCTGATGATAGCCTTAACTCGAGGAAGCTCAAGTGCACATATGAACCGATCTGAGTCTATCCCAATCGGATACTAACATTGATGGGAAAAAGAAGCAAATAAGTGTTTCTGAATTTAATCATCATTATATTAGGTCAAAGTAAAGCAAAATGTTAAATTTTCTCTCTCTTTCATTTTCGCTTTTACAGGCAAAGCTTGAAGTGAAAAGTTTAAGAAGTTATGTAAAATAACTAGGCGTAACAATGAACATGATTGATCACATACTGCAGTAACTCGAGTCAACCTCCCTTGATCTTCAACCCCTTTAGGGGTACCCTCAAGTCCTAGAATACGAGTGCAAGCGCTAACAAAGTGCCGTGCATAATCATAGGTGTGAAAACTGCTCAAAAGAAGTGCACACGTGCATGTAAGAAACAAAAGAAAGGAGAGGCAGAAAAATCAAAAAGTAAACCACGTACAGCTTAAAGGCGGGAAACTCTTGAGAAGTCAATTATGGGTAACATAGGAGATGAGGGGGTTCAAAGTAAACAAAACAAATGAAAAGAAGAGAAAATGTCAAACAAAGAAATTATGCATCATTTGCAAAGTTCATAGTTAATGAAAAAAGGCAGAGTTTGATACGAAGCATTATGATCTCCAAAAATCTCAGAGGTTCTCATTATTTAGGTATTATGATAGGGAACCAAACAGAATAAAAGGAATAAAAGTAATTTGTTTTCAAGAGAAAAAACTTATTCCTAAATGGAGGAGCAAGTTGGAACTTACGCAACTAAATCAGCCGCAATAACAGAATGCAGGAGCTCTGATCGAGATGGCAGCATCCTATGAATTTCTGAAGACGGAAATGGCGTGTGGAGAAACCAGCCAACTTTCATGTTCCTGTCATAATCCTTTAAGAATTTTGGAAGAAACATAAGATGGTAATCATGGCACCAAACAACATCACCCTCCTGATAGTGTTCTTTCACAACATCAGCAAACATTTGATTTGCTTTCTTATATGCTTCAAACTGAGATTGGAAATTCCTTGTGGTGGCAAGGCGATCTTCTTGTGGAAGTCCCAGGTAGTGAAAAAGGGGCCACAAGATGTTATTGCAGTAACCATTATAATACTGATGGACAATCTCTTCATCAAGAATTACTGGAATGCACCTCTGCAACATAGGTTTCAAGCAAAAGAAGAATCTGAAAATTTATAAAACCTTTACCAAAAATTTCGCATGACATATGATCAAATGATGAAAATGCATGGTTGTTATTGCGTTAATCTCAAATTTTATTCAAGAGATATAAGACTTCGTACCTTTTCAGCCAGAGCCTTAGTAAGTGTCTTCTGTCCAATCTCATCCGGCACATTGACACCAGCCCAACCGATCCAGATTGCCTCAATCTCCTTGACACCTTCGTAAATTTATGCAGTCATGTTAGGTAACGTTTATATATAAACAGACGAAGTTTAGTCCCAAGGATATCAATTATGTACAAAACTCACTATTCTAAACCCATAACAGTATATCAATGACTGAAAAAAGCAACTGTGTGTCATATACAAACGTTTGATAGGGTCTACAACTCCTTAGAAATATGATGATACACCAAGAGTATAAAAGGAAAGAAAGAAATAAATAAATAGCAGTGCAATCAACACCAACCTAAAAGAGCTCTCACAAGACCGCCAGCACTCATCTCCATGGACCACGAGTCTTCACTTGTCCTAACTGCTGAGACTGGCAGCCTGTTGGCCACCACCAAAAGTCGTTGTCTAAAAGGCCCCCCATGATTATTACCACTTGATTTGTTCAAATGAAAGCCCTTGCCACTTAGCTCTCTTTCTCTTATTAGCCCTTCATCGGAACCGGGAAAATGATGAGAACTACCGTTACCGTAACAGTTATTTCCGGGGATAGGATCGCTCTGAAAGTGAACCATTGAATAATTGAGCCACTTCCTCCCCTGCATTTTGACAGGAAGATTTATTATTTATGGACACATGAGCCCAAAAAAATTTGTGGAACATCTACAATCTACTTGCTAGTAACAGAGAATATCATAGTTGTTGATCTTGGTCAAGACAATAAAATTACTATCAAACATATTAAAAATGATACGAATTGTGTGGCAGCGGGAAAATACGTCCAGTTACTCCAGAGGAAAAAAGAAAATTAAGTGCATAAAGAGGACAGGATACTCCAATGGCGGTGAACAAAATATTTTAATTCCCACCAGCAAGGAGAGAATGAAATTAACTGAAGTAGGGATGAACAGGTTAGGCTTAGTTCATTACCTAGGCTATAGCCTAAGAAGTTTCAAATGCGCATTCGAATATGATGGGCGTATCAGCTTTCTCGTTAGGTATCTGGGTTGCAGAAAATCAAAGTCCAAGGGGGTGTTCGGTGCAGCTCACGATTCTAGAAGCACAGTCAATTCAGACGAAAACGATAAACACATTGCATGAAAGAAAGAAAGAAAGCAGAGAAAAAATGTGGGAAAGCAAGAAGAACAGTGCCCATCTGATTGCACAGACACGAAAACTTACCAGTCAAACCGCTTACTCTGACTCTAAAGCCACCACCTTGAAAACAGGAGAGAATTCTGTGCAGAATCGTCACGAGGTTCTGCTTCGATATTACAATGTCAGTGAAGAGTACAAAAAGCAAAACGGGAAAATGCGTAAAAGAGAGAAAAGTAGGGAGAGAAATGAGAAACCTGCCATATTGATAGTGGCAGAGAAATTGCCCAGAGAAAGAAGAGAGGAAGGAAATACAAGGAATCATGGATCCAGGGGAGGCTTCAAAAGGAAAAGGAAAACTTAAATTACATGAAGCCTCAGAGGCAGGGTCACACTGGGGGAGTAAACGAGTCCAAGACTTAAATGAGGACGAAAGAAGGGACCATTTTAATTACCGCGTTCATTGAAACAGGACCAAAAAAAAAAATCTAATAACGCTCGGGTGAGTGTATCAAAATTTATTTTATCTTTTTATATTTATTTATTTATTTTTTAAATAATTTTTATAATAGTTACACATATTAAATATTTTACTAAATATTAAAGCTAATATACTTGATTAGCAAGATATTTTAGGAAAATCAGTTACTATTTATTGTAAATAACTAATTTAACAATTTTTTTAATTTATTTAAATTAGTTAATTAACTTTTAATCAAGGACAGGAGGTAGTAATTTTTTGAGCGGACGTGAGAAATTCAAATGTATTTCAAGTACAGACGTATAGGGGTGTTCACTGGACGGATCGGGACCGGGACAGGCCCGTCCCGGTTCCGTCCCGGTGAACAGTAACGGGACAGATTTTCTGTCCCGTGTCCCGGCCCGTCCCGGGGTTGTCCCGGTCCTGGTCGGGACGGGACGGATCCGGGACGGGACCGGGACGTCCCGAAATTATTATTTTTTTAATTTTTTTTAATTTTTTTATAATTTTTTTATAATTTTTTTTAAAAATCTGATTTTTTTAATTATATTTTTTTGAGCTTAAATCTTATAAAAACATCTTTTTTATTTGTTTGGGCACTCTTAAACAAAAGCTCAAAATATTACATATAATAGTTATTAAAAACTCTAAACAAAAGCTTTTAACACAATAAAAACTTACTAAAAATTCTAATCATCAATAATCTCAAATCATTAACAAATATAAAAACTCTAAATAAATATATCCATAGTTCCATACAATAGTCTCAAATCTTAAAAAAAATATGAAAAAAATGATATTATATAAAAAATTAAAAAAATTAATTTTTTTTTTAAAAAAAGGAACCGGGACGGGACCGGGACGGGACGACCCCGTCCCGTGTCCCGTCCCGTCCCGGTCCCTTTTTTGTCCCGTCCCGAAAATTTCGGGACGGATCCGTCCCGTCCCAATAAGACCGGGACCGGAACGGGCCGACCGGGACGGGCCGGCATTGAACACCCCTACAGACGTACGTTTGTCAAGTGTGTGTGGATTTTCTCAAGAAAACACCATTGAAATATTTTATTTATTTAACCAATGTATGTACAAAATTTACATTCAATTTCTTATAATATCATTTTATTTTTAATATGGTCATTATAATTTTTCCCTTTTTTCTTGAGTCTTACCTCCTCCTTAATTATGGATCTTAGATTTTTTTTTAATTATTTATAATCTGTTAATTTGAAGAGGAACAGCGTTAGAGAGGCTCGTGACAGGCTATCACACTATGAATTAATTTTGTCACGTGAATTTAAAAAACTTCCAAATAAACTATACTCCTCCAGTCCTTAATATAAGACCCATTTAACTAATTTGATTAGATTAAGAAAGTTAGGTAAGTTAGTTAATTATAAAAAATGTGACACGTTTTTTCTAAAATACTATAATCATCTTTCTTAATGTCTCATCTTTCTCTTCTACTTGATTATAGTTGAAGGAGTATCTATAAAGGTAATTTAGAGAAAATTGATAAATATGAGAAACCTGTCTTATATTTAAGACCAAAATCAACTCAACAATTGGGTCCTATATTAATGACCAGAAGAGTATTATAGACTATATATGTGAAGAAACAATAATGAATATAATTATTCTTTTTTTTTTTTATTTTAATAATTAATAATTTTTTCATCATTTTATTTCAGGAAAATTGATTTGCCATTGCATATAATTTAATCTTATTGTAATTTCTTTGATTATAACCATTAGCCCATATATTCATAGTTTATTAATTACGAGTAACATGGATGCGACTAAGCGACATGCAAAATTAAAAAAGGGTTAAGAGTAACCTGAAAATACTATAGAAGTGAGATCATAAGAAAATTGAACATACGACATTTTTACATAAAAACTTTCATGTCAATGAGCTACAAAACAATAAGGGGAAAAAAATACATTTACTTTAGACACGTAATGAGAATGATCCCGCATTATTCGTATAAATTAAATTGTGTGGGGTCATTAACAGCAATTTGGTTGCCAATGGTTGAGTGGTTGTAGCAAAGATGTGAGGGTAACTATTGTTCAATTGTGTTCTTTCATGCTACAATTGTCTTTTTTATGTCAAATGAGTAATGAAGTGACGATCCGATCATTCTTATTACTCATTCTGATTTTAATTATAAGACTTTATTTGTAATCTATAAATAAAAGTTTTATAATTAGAAATGGAGATAGTATTTTATTTAGCGTCTTGTTATAATATAAAAATAGAGAATGACATAATTTTAAATGAAAATAGGCTTAACATGTGAAAGATTGGATGTACTATAATATACTTTTATAATTAAAAAAACAGTTAATAGTTATTTAAGAAGTAATACTGAAATCAAAGTTTTTAGTTGATTTTATTTGAAAAAAGTCATTAATAAACAAATTATAACAGTAGTACGAAGGGTATAAGAAGCACAATCACAAAAAGTACACAATTTCCTTTTGTGCTTTTCGTTCGGACGTCCCAATGAAATCAATTTTGCATGTTTGGTTTTTTGGCCAAAAAGCCAGCACCAATTAAAGAGATGTTTCCAAATCATAGTTTTAAAAATAATTTTGCGGTATACATAGTAAATATCTAAAGAAGTTCATCTTATGGGTTGTTTGGCAACCCTCAAAAATGATTCTGAAAAACACTTTTCTACAAAACGAAACAAGCTCCTCTACATATTTATTTCGTAAACCGTAAAAGCACTTTTGAAACCATAGTTTCGTTTACATCCAAATATCTCCTTAATTTGCAAAAAAATACTTTTAAAAAGCACCTCTGCAGAAATCCAAACACTCACTAACTTAACATCAAAACCACTGATATGCTTTTACAAGCTAACATCAACATCAACTGTCAGCTTAAACAGTTGTTTTTGGAGGGGATTACTAGTTTATTACATTTTTTTGGACAGACACTAACAACTTAACATTATTAGCAGAAATTAAACTTATGACCTCCCATTTATAAGAAAGCTTACATATTGGCATTAGTTTAGTTTATTATTGCATGTTTCTCATCTAATTCTTTGATAAAAGCATAATGGATTGAACCCGCTATTTTTCATAGCTTTGTACATTTGTCGGTATAAGCTTCTATACAACTTTATGAAGATCGATTTAGGCAGAAAATTTTTAACTCATAACATAAACGATACTTTTCATTGATGTACGTGCTGTCCAAACTACCTTAGAGCAAACAACATAAAAGTAGTGTAGTGCATTAAAAGAAATGGAGTGAGAAGACAGTTCAACAATTGCAAAATCTTTACTCCCTATCCATACCTTGAAACCTTTGTGGTCTTCCTTTAAATTGCAAGATCTAGTTTAGACTTATAGGGGATACGGCTCTGGTAATTCACTAGCTTCCTGACCATGACAAGGGACAAACCTTCTTTGAAAAAGCTTTTCAGTATATGCAAATATTGCAAGTGACTTTTTCTTTTTCATCAAACCCTTCAACAACAGAACTTGGATGAGTGCACCTCTAGGAATAATTCACTTCCTCAAACTCAATGCAAAAACTGTAGAATGCTTGTTAATAGTGGCAGAATCACAACCCAATTCATCGACAAAAACACTCCGATACTGCATCAACTTATCCTCTGAAAGCAAGATACAGGGGGAAATATCTAGATGCTGCAAAAATGCCATTTTCAGACCAACCTCACTTCTCAAACATCAACCCTTTTAGCCCATGTGGATATTTTGTTAAGGATAAGCCTACATGAATAGAAATAAAAAACTGAATCTTTGAAGAATCAAACCGCATCTCCTTCAGTTCCTCCACAATAACTTTAGATCCACCAGGACTTTATGGTGAGAAGATAGTTTGTACCCATACCTCAAGCCTTTCCTACTTTTCACTCTTCATTCACTCCGCAAGATCCAGTTTGGCCTGATACAACTCTAACAATTCAGTAGCTTCCTGTACATGACAATGGACAAACTTCCCCAAAAAGTAGTTTTCAGTGTATATAAATGTTGCAAACAATGTTTCCCTTTCCATCAGACCCTTTGACAGCAGAGCTTGAATGACAGCACCTCTTGGTATCAATCGCCTTTTCACACTTAATCCAAAAACTGAAGGATATTCGCTAATAGTTGATGACTCACAGCCCATTTTATGGACAAGAAACTCCATTACTGCATCAATCTTATTCTCAGACGTGATCATACACAAGGGGTACTTTCTAAATGCCACGAGAATGTCATTGTCGGACCAACCCCACTTCTTATAAACATCAGCCTTTTTGGCGAATAAGGATTTTCCTAACGCTAAGTATACAAAAACAGCAACAAGAAAATTATACTTCAAATGATCAAACCCAATTTCCTTAACTTCTTCCACAATGTCCTTGAATTCGTTAGGTCTTCTAGTAAAAATCCTAGGAAAATCCTGCACACATTTGATAACATTTGATTGAGGAACTCCTGCTTCTAGCAATAGCTCCATATTAGGCCGGGCAAGTGTGTTGCTGTCAATAAGAATGCCCGAGTACTTTTGAAGAGTTTTAATGAGCTTCTCGTCAGATCGAAACACATCTCGAAGTAAGTCAAAGGAAGGAATGAGCTGCTTCCTTAAGCTTCTTGCCATGATTCTAGGACAACTACATATGATCCTAGGGATGTTTGAGCTCAAAACGCCTCTGGATTTGAAAAATTCAATCTTGGGCAGAAAGGTTTTCTCAGGATCATATCGAAGAAACGATGGGACATCTGTAATGAAACGAATAATCTGGGGCCGAGAGAATCCATGACTTTTAAGAAAATTGATAACCAAATCAGGCTTATCCCGCGTTTCTAAGCTGACATGCTTAGAAGTTGAATCAGCTTGTGTAGGTGAGAAGCCACAGGTGTCAATGAGATACGAGACGGTGAAAGAATGCCCATTGGACGAAGTTGAAGAAGCGTACCTCACAGAAAACCATCGGGTCTGAGCACAAATCAGATATTGAAATGTTGAAGGAGAGATTGCGCAGATAGCTTCGCAGATAGAACGAGCCATAGAGCAAGGCAGGGTAAAACCCTACTGTGATTTTTGAGGTGAAAAAAAAAAAAACACAAAACAAAACAAAACAAAGAAGACTGATACTGCCTCTCGAACCGGAACGTCCCGGTCCGTCAAAAAGAACTCCACAGTCCACCCTTCGCTCCACAATATAAAAGTCATTCGCTCATTTACACCAATTTATGGATTTATGGATATCAAAAAATATTTATTAAATGTGTTTTAAATTGAAAATTTTTCTTGAACTTTCCTCATACTAATAAATAAGATTCTGAACGGAAAAAAATAGTATCAAATAAACATTAATTACTCCTCAAAATAGTTTATATTTAATATTTTAGACCAAATCAATCATCAACAGCTTGTCTTGTTGACCTAAGGGAGTACCGTAGTATACACTTTAGATTAAATATACTTTCCTAGGTATCGAGTAATCAGTTTCTATCATTAACATTTAATATTTTATATATTGAAAATTCCCTTATTATAATCTAACTACAAAATTTTTATTTTACTTTACTTTTTACTTTTAGTAAAATGAGGGTAAAAAAATATTTGGTCACGAAAAAGGGAAGAAGAGTTTTACAATTGTTGTTTAACGCGATTCTATCAAGTTTAATACATTTTCAGTTTATCTTGTCTATTCATTTACTTACTTTTTAAATAAAAATTTTGATTCTTTTCACACAAAATTATTTTTGGGAAAACTATTTTTTAAACCTATTTTTTTCTTTCCTATGTATTTTTCTCTTAATTAAATTAAATATTAAATATTTTAATTTTACTTTATTAACACAGTTAGTTTTTATACAAGGACTAATGATACTAACAAAACAAAACTAAAGTACTTAATTAAAAAATATTTAGATATCAAATTAAAAATTGAGATAAAGTATAACTAACCAGAAATTGCTATAATAAACAGTGTTTCCAAATCTCATTGCACCCTTCTTTGTCGGATCAAGATAAAATACTTTCAAGTTCTCTTTTGTTTGGACCTTGAAAGATCCTTTCAATTCCAGGTTTCATCTGCGCATCTATCAAATATTTAATATTCTTAAGACAAGATCAAATAGTATACCAAAAAAAAAAGTGTTGTATCTTGTTTTAATATAAAAATTAGTTGATATTCAATTTCGTTCTAAATATAAGATCTCGATTTATTTTATTCCTTATATTTATCTATTTTTTAAAAAATAGTACTTATAATAATTATACATATTAAAGGTCGCACCAAATAATAGTTCTAAATAAAACACATGATTAAGAAAAATAACATTTATTTATTATAAATAACTTACTTAACAAATTTTTTTAATTTATTTAAATTAACTAATTAGTTTTTATATTGAGCAATGAAGGTAGTATTATGGCACAATTTAACTTCTCCCATTTAACTTCTGTTAATCTCTTGAACCAACTTCAAATGTTTCAATGATGTAATGGAATACGACTTGGAAAGTCTAATCAGCCACCTGAACTCAAATATGACATGCGCATTACGCAATCTCACATTATGGGCGCCTAGATTGACGTTGGTAAAAATGAGTTTTATTCCATTTAACTTTTGCAAACTAAATTTGGTATAAAAATTAGCAGGTCTGATGCATTTCAATTTAGATAGAATTTAAAAAAAAAACTTGATAAACTGAAACTTCTATAAATAATTAATTGAAAAGCATTTTTAGATTAAAATGATTAAAAAATAGGGGTTTTATTGAATACATATATTATATGTGTATAATGTGATGTTTTTCAGAAAAATATTAAAATTAAAATTATAAAAATAAAGAGTTAGTGTAAGGTTTAGGTGCTTGGCAAATAGACATCCACGGGAATTAGCTTATTCACACCCCAAATGATACTATAAGAATCGGTATTGAACATCCCCTGTAATTGTAAAAGCTCCCGTGGCAATGTTCAAGCATTTGCTCATATAATCTCACTAACGGCGCCATTTTCATTGTTAGTGTGCCTGCCGTTAAAATTAGATCTGCTTGTCTAATGTAATGCTCTATTTTCTAACGCACCTTGAAGCAACCTGGTGCAAAAGCAACAAAAAGTTGCTTCATTCCAAAAGCTAATTAATTCAGAACACCAGTCCAGACATGGTTTTTATGAAAATCACTTTTAGGGCTTGTGATGCCAAACAGGTTTATGCGGAGGGCACTTCTAGTTGTTTAAAGCATCCATCCCAATAATAATTGATCTAAGGACAAAACACTAATACCCCTTCTTTCATTCTGTATTATTCCAAGGAAAAAGGGACATCATTCAAAGAATGCCAAGAGTCGGATAGAGTACAAGTAGAAATAGAGGGTTCAATCCTTTTTAATGTAATGAGAAAAGAAGGGGAAAAAAGGCAGACAGGCGTCGTTAATTTTTCACCTTTCAGCATTCAGCAAACAGAAGTAATACATTAATCTACATTTTGGTATCCGTTCTGTTAGCTACTCTTCACTATTAACGTTTCGAGGTAAGAAAATTTAAGAATGTTATAGAACACTATAAAACTACTACCTAAGGGATGAAGCAGTACCCGATAGCTTGACCAAGATGGTACAACATTAGCCTCCTCTGAGCCTACAGCCTGAAACACCAAAATTTATGAATATTCAGAGATAGAGAGTTCGTGCGGAGGAAATTGGGAGTGAAATCCTAACCTACCTATACCTTTATGATAGAAAGTGACATAAAAAGGTGAAAGTGTGTAATGCTTCCCCCACCCTCTCGTCCTTCTACTCATTATATTTTTTTTCCTTCTTTATTTTGCATAATTCTTTCATTTGCTAAATATAGAAGGGTCAGCGAAAAAAAATCAAGGGTGTGGCTTACGTGAATAATTGGGTGCGGTTACGAGAGAGCTGAGGCCGTTTGATTGGAGACAGTATCAAGTTCCTCAAAGTCATTGACGGGTTACTAGTTGGACCAGCTCCATAAACAGGATGAGCTCCTCCACCCCTTCTATTCCCTGTATCCCCAACGAGAACTGCTTGCTTTGCTGGTGAACCAACGGAGATATCGAAGTGACCGGAGTTATTGCTATTCTGTCTTGCCGGCCACACGTCCTCTCTTGGCCCTGGAGTTTCAGGAGTGATCACCGGCCAACCTGCACCAAGTAAGTTACCTAGTTTTGGAAATATCTAAGCAGAAAAGAGGTCATATGGTTATACTATGTCATTACATCATCCAAAGAACAGACACTTCAACTGATCATAAGGCTAACTGAGTGTTTTGCATAATTTAATTCGTGGATGCCTAATAGTATTGTCATCTGGGTCAAGGAAAAAGAAAGGCTACCTTTTCTGCCAGTTTCTCTCTCATCCATTATGTTAGGTGGATTCGAGAACAAATCCGTCTCATTCCTGGAATAGAAGTTGCTTGCAGGCTGTATGGCAGACCGTTTCACTGACTCATACTCACTCCTCAATTGATCATACATTTCATCTAATTTTCTCTTCTGCCTGGAATTGAAACAGATTTTAGGCATCAAGATCCAGATCATCTGGTTTAAATGGGCCATTAAAGGGACACATTGACACAGACCTGGATTTTTCAGAAAATTTTTCCTGGAGTTCTTGCTTGTCCTTGGATAAGGTCTCAATTTCCTGTTCCATCATCTGACATCTCTTGGCCATCTTTTGATAGGCCGTATGCACCTGTTCCAGCTTTTCTGTAAACTTTTCTTGCATCATCTCAGCTTTCTGTTGCATCATCTCACATTTCTGCCGACACTGAGCTACAATCCTGTTCATTTTATACTGCATCTCCAATTCCTTTTGCCCCATGTAGAACATCACACTTCTGTAACAAGACTTGAACACTGGCTTTGTTCAAGGGAAAACACATGGCCCAGTATAATCTTAATCATTTGAATGACTTTTCACTAGTTGCTTCTAGTTTACTTTCCGGTCTTCATTTGACTGCTTAGCTACAACTATGATGACATTATGTTCTCTATTTTCTGTACAGGTCCCTCTAATCAATGGGCTATAAAGGATACATATCTGTGGAGATACTCCCGCCATGGCCATCTGCAGCAGTAAACAGCACAAAGATGAGGAGCAATGGTTATGAGAAATAAAGAAAGCTAGCATAGAAGTGAAAGGAATTCATCAAACTACTTTTTAAGAAAATTACAAAATATGAAAGCTGAAAGCATACGTCAGATGCATATAGTTAACACATCAATATCTGTTTATATATAATATAGAACTTATGTGATGTATGTCGCATTATTTTTATGTTAAGAACAGTATAGCTTATAGCACAGGCCTTATATTCTAGTTCAGTAGAATGTTTACTTACATTTATCCATTCATCATTAGGACTGATATCTACAGGTTTCATGAGACTGATGACAGAGGGAAAAAAACAGAAAAGAGTGAGTCATCATCAAGTAAATCATAAGTATAAATGCTGGTAATCAATTGTTGGGAGATAATTAGTTAAATCAGACAACCATTTTATTCAGGATCATATTACAGCAATCAAAAAATCATGTCCTGCCTTCCGTCAGGAAATATTCTGCAGATCTCAATCAACTTCGTACCTCTTTGAAAGCACTTGATCACAGATTGGGCATACTCCATCATTACTTAATATCTTATTAGCGTCATCTGTACCTTTTTACAGTGTTAAGGAAACAATATACATATAAACTGATTACCACAAGAAACAGAAAATACAGAACAAACAATCCAACTTGATATTATAATTGATAAGTATGATGACCATATAAAAAGGAGGAATCAAATGACATAATTTCAGAAATCTGGATACACAAAAGGTGACCACATGTTGTGGAAATGGCACGCCCCTCTAATTCTCTCCAGCATGCATTGCATCTCATTTCAGCTGTCAAATGCTAACTTTACATGGGTCAAAATACCTACAAATCATAACAATGCATCAACGTATTTCGAAAATTAAAATGACTACCAGATTCACCTAGATTTAAGCCCCGGAAAAATAGGTATCTATTTATAAAGTGTGCTATTAAGCAATAGGATTCCAGGACAACTTTAGCTGAGTATGAAAGGATACATATTCAAAGAACAAAACCCCAAGATAAACTGCATAGATAAACTCTGAAATTCAAAATTTACCAATAGGAACGCATCACTACCAACTAAGGACAGACTACCTAATGATCCAAACTCTCTGGACTGTAAACCCCACGGGTTTATGAGACTGCAACCAGGGGAAAACATGATTACCTTAAATTACAATAAAACAAGATATGCATCCATCGCTTTAATTTAAAATCCACCAAAACAGAACAAAACTTCAAATATCCTCGTCATGTAGATTGCCAAAATGTTTTTTTTTAAAAAAAAAATCGAGAGCCGAAAAAATGGATCTAATGATATTGGACGTTATCTTGTCTCATGATTAATCAAGATGAAAATTCTTGGTAATATACCTCTTCCAATTCAGACATTCAAAGACATGTTACTTCGGTTACTTCCTTCACAATTTAAAGTTAACTAGTATCCACCAGAAGTAAATACCTATGTTATCGCGTCATAAAATTGCCGGATTTTTCTCTCTGATCTTATTAAAAGGTTACGCAAATAACAGCGGGGCCATCTCCGAATACTTAACTCTCCGAGCTTTTTGTGCCTTCCTTGTTTCAAGGAGCTTCAATTTCCTTGCATAAAACCAAAGTGTAACAGCTGATATCGAAAAACTAACTCCTGTTCTAGTCCGGACCAGCATAAACTAACAAAAGTGCAAAATCCGCTGATTCATCTTCCACACTCTGAAAGAAAATCCAAAAAAGAAAAAATATCAAAATTTGAAACTCTCATTTTTTCCACCTCAAATGCGACAATGAAAACCTCGTTGAACAGGAAAAATACGATGACGCAAATTTTGCAATTAAGGAGAGATGTAGAATTAAGGACACAATACCTTCGCAGAATTTGAAAGAGATTAGAATGCAGATCGTGAACTTGAGAGTTTCTAAAAGGTGGCGAAAGCAATGCGAAGAAAAAGAGTAGAAGCAAAGCCCTAGGAGCGGCAAATGGATTTCCCGCGAAGGCTTCTTCAGAGCAGAGTCACGAATCGTATGAAGAAATCGGCGGCAAAGCCAAGACCGTTTCGAAAATAAGAAACGGTTGGTCGAAATACTTTATATATTTTGACCAAAAACAAACTTTATATATAGGTGAAAAAAAAAACAGAGAGAAACGAAACGAAACATTATACAACAAGTATATACTCCTCTGTCCTATTTATAGGCAGAGAAGAGAAAAAGTATTTTTTAGTCTTATTTATAAAACATTAAGAGAAATTTTTTATATGAATATATAATTTTACTCCTCATTTATTATCATGTTGCTTTTATTTATATGAGATATAATATATTACTATATTAAATAGGAATAAAATTAAAAAGTCATTAAATTTTAAATGAGTTAATGAAGTTTAAAATTTTTATTGACTTGTGTAAAATATGCTGAAAGTGTTTTATAAATAGGACTAAAGGAGTATGTCTAAAGAACTTTGTGAATAATTCGGGCAAAAAAAAAAAAAGACCTTTGATTGTTCTCACTTATAAATTAGAAAAATCACAAATAAAGACTCCCGAATTACTGAAATTACGCAGAGGTCACCTGAATAAGCAAAATTACTATGAGGTACCCAGTCTCATATTGTAAATATGAAATCTTGATGAAATGTCTGAAATGCCCCTTAGTCAAATGACAAGTTAACTATAGGAAATGACAAGTTCACTTTAACGAATAACAACTTTAGTAGATTAAATCACAATTTGATTGAAGGTACATTAAATGGCAAGTTGACTATGGGAAATAACAAGTTTACTTTAGCTGATGACAACTTCAGTAGACCAAATTACAATTTGACTGAGGGGTATTTCAAACATTTTGCCAAGATTTCATATTTACAATATGGGACTGAGTCCTTTATGGTAACTTTGCTTATTCAGGACCTCTACGTAATTTTGGTAATTTGGGGTGTTTGTTTGTTATTTTCCCTTATAAATTAGACTTTATAATCTCTTTGATAGAAAGGAGACGATAAAAAATGAGGTGTAATGTTACTGACTTATGAATTATTTAATTTGTTATAAGTTTTACATTTTAGAATAAATATCATTGTTTATCCTTACAATTTGATTCCATTTTGATTTTGATGCCTGTAATTTCACATCGATGGTTTTGTTCTCTGTAGTTCCATAAAGATTTGGTTTCATAAATAGAAGAATAAAAACCAACTATTTAAAGTTACATGGACTAAAACTAAAACTAGATCAAATTCTAAAGACTGACAATAATAATATATTTTAGATCAAATAATAAGTATCTTAATTTTGAACTTCACAGAATTAAAAAGGATTAAAATGTAAATTTGTGCTGAAAATTTTCATTTAGGAGTGCTGAGTACTCAAAAGTTTTTTTAATATAAATTTATCTCAAAAATTTAAAATTGTAGTAATGTTGTCCCTACTATTAAAAATATTGACGATTAATATCACTATTTGAATGTCCAATGTTAGTTTTTCAACATTAATAAACAATATTGCTAAGATTTATATTTAATATTAATGTTGATATATGGCTGGAAGAGGAAGAGCAGATTTTTCCTGAACTAACTATATTGAACTTAAAAAACTAACCAAAAAAAAAAAACACTTTATCCAACAAAGGAGGTAGCAAAGGAGGTATACATAACAAAGGAGTTTTATTGAGCCTCGGAAACATGTCTTGGTAATAATAACTGCCTGGAAGGAAATATAGGCATGCACTAGGATGTGAAAGACATTAAAGATTTTTCTACTTACGGGGAGAAGGGAAATCCCAAGTTCATTTATTATCCTCAGTTGAATTTTCCAACTCATATAACATACACGTTTTTCATTTTTTTTCATAATTAACATAGCATAGGCAAATCCGAGCCTAACTCAAGTTTAGGGGACTTTGCTATCACGGGGATAGCCAATAAGGAAATCAATGCTAAAACTAGTGGCTTATAAAAAGGGGTTGGGAAGTAAATTAGATGTTTCCAACTTATTTAGAACTTTTTAATGCTTCTCTAATCCTTAATATAGGACCCAGTTTTTGAGTTGGTTTTGATCCTAAATTTAAGATCCATTTTTTATATTTATCAATTTTCTCTAAATTACCCCTATGGATACTCCCTCAACCATAATCAAGTAGAAGAGGAAGAGGGGTATTAAGAAAGATGATTATGGTGTTTTAAGAAAAATATGTCATTTTTCTTATAATTAACTAATTTATCTAACTTTCTTAATCTAATCAAATTAGTTAAATGTGTCTCATATTAAAGACCAGAGGAGTATAAACAAAGCTTATGAGCACATTTACATAAATCAAAATATTTTTTTTACATATTTATCTCATATTTTATAAATCACAATTAAAAAACTATTTTTCAAAACTCCAATTGCCATTTTAAATAAGTCTTAGGTCATGAATTTGCTCAAAAGAGGATCATTGTGCATCGACCAGGACTCTAATAAGGACTTCTTTTTTTCATGAATGATCAAAATGGTTTTTATACTAAAAAATCTATACATGAATTATATAAAACATAAAAAGAAATTGAACAAATACGTGATGCTAGAAAAAAAAAATAAAAGTAAAAAAGTTGAACATTTTCAAAGGCAGTCTTAGAGGAGCCAAGCAGCAGTGATGGAACATCTTGCAAAAATCGCTTTTTTAAACACCCATAGATTAGGATGGCGTGAAAAGCTGTTTTCTAATAAACCACACTTGTGTACCCTGTAGCAAACCAAAATGACAAGTCCGTAGAAAAGCTCCTTGAAAAAGCCTACCATTGAAGCAACAGTACTAAAGGTGTATTGGATCACATTTGAAAGTTCAAACTGACTTCGCACCCGGTAAAAAAAAGATTTTTGATATAAGGGTGTGTTTGGGATTTTTTTATAATTTGATTTCTGAGTGCAAAATGGGTTTCTAGGAAGAAGCTCTATATTTTTGCCTTCACCGGTGTGGTGACAAAGTTGTTTGGAGCATTAATTGCATTTAAAATTTTTCACCAACCTATATTCCTTCTTTTTCCATGTGTTTTGTCTCTATTTGTGGGTTAAAAAAAAAAAAAAACAAGAATAGAGGACAGCACTTCCACCGTGTCGCCACCGTCCTCCTGCCGTCCTTCGCCGTCTCCCCATTCTGATTCTCGTTTAGGAGGCGGTGTTTGTTGGCCAATGTCCGTTTGTTGGTCTCCGTTCATTGCAAGTCGTGCATGTGCTCTGCTTCTTCAGGTAGCTTGTCCGTTGCAAGTGATGGTCGTGGTCCATTCTCTTGTCGCGACAGTGTCCTCTGCTCCCGATCTACTCTGCTAACAGTCACCTTTAAGAGATCAATTTTTTTTTAAACCTAAATCTGTTCCTATTTCTACTTCTTGGCTGCCGCTGGATTCAATGATGAGAAAACGCATAGGTTTCTTCTATGGATCCCCATTTTCAGCTATTTTTTAATTTTCCATATTTTTTTCCCGATTCTCACCTTATAATATTACTTAATAAAATTTTTGTCTTTTTCAATCATTTTGTATCTAAACTTACTTTTACATTATTTATCTTAATAAGTTTTAGCTTTTTAAACTGATTTTTTTTTTACAAAAGTCAATCTAAATATAAATAACATCACTCTATCTGACTTTTATTTGGGGTGTTTGGAAACATTTAGAATTATTTTTTAGAAGCACTTTTTCGTAAATCGAGACAAACTCCTTTATATATTTATTTCGTATACCGTAAAAGCATTTTTGAAATCATAGTTTTGTTTTTACCTAAATACCTTCGTAATCTAATTTTTGTAAAAGTCATATTAGAAAAAAGTAACTTTTTTCACGGCTAATCCAAATACACTCTAAAGATTTTTGGGATGTATGCATTTGTATGTATGACATGTAGGTTTACGGGAGCCGGTTCTTTACAGCTCTTTTATGTCTGTAATATATTTGATTCTCAATATAAACACTAGTTGATTAATTTAAATAGATTAAAAAAATTAGTTAAATTAGTTATTTGTAATAAATATATATTGTCTTTCTTAAAATATCCTTACTAGCTATGTATATTAGCTATAATTATTATTTAATAAAACCTTTAACATGTAAAACTACTACGAAAATTATTTTTTTAAAAAAAGATTATTATAATGGACAAAATAAATTGAGATATTAAGGATTAGAGATAGTACTGTTTATATGAGAAAATTGAACATAAAAAAGGGAAGACCAGAGGGAAGGAAACCCCAGTTCGAGTTCAAGAGGAAGAAAAACAAAACAAAATAACCCGAGCACTTGTTATACTCTCTGTAGGGGATGAATTTATAATATCAAGATTAAGAAAGACTTAAAGAAGGCATTTGATGTCATTAGATTATAAAGTCCTCACAAATATTGTATAAGTTTCATTTATAGGTCAACTATTTTTATTTTATTTTATTTTTTTGACTTGAAGAGGTATGAACTAATAATTTGAGGTTACAAATAAGATTAAACTCTGAACTCTCACTAATAAAACTATAAAAGATTAGTCACGCCTACACTATAAGCCCATGGCTATTGGTCAAATGATCTAATTAATGACAATGGAACACTAGGCTGATCACGTGAAGGGGACACAAGGAAGAAAATAATTAGGTGGGAGATAATTTCATACGTTATTATTTTTTTAAAAAAAATTTGAGTGCGGTAAATGCCACTTCATTGTGAATCACATTTACAGGTATTTGGGGTTAATACGATATTTACTAATTTTATTCATTAGCGTTCGTTAAAACTATTAAACAGATTAAATTAGAAAACGTTAATATTCCTTTCGTGAATTTCACCGGTTCGCAGCACTATTAAATACTTAAATAGATTAAATTAAAAAACGTTAATATTTTTTTTTGTGAATTTTACAAGTTCGAGACACTGTTAAATATTTAAGTGTAGATATATTTTCTAATAAAAATTTAAATATTCATTCACTATGTTATATCAAATTAGTTTTTTTTTCCAACTCATTTATTAAAATCGTTTATTAAGCTTACTTGTCATGGGGTTAAAGAAATTTCGGCCTTAGCTTGGGAGTTTCTCCCTCTCTTCTTTTTTCCCTTCCACCAATGATGAAAGAGCTCTCGCTCTATTCCTTTACATCTAATAAAAGAGACTAGTCCCTTACAATATGGTGAGTCAAAGTTTAGATTCCTGCTGGGAAAAGTTTCCGCATTTAACGCTGACAGTGTCTCGAATAAGATTATCTCTAATAAGAAAATACATATATTTTAGTTAAAAAAAAAAAAAGCTCTCGCCTTCGAACAGCAATATTCAAAGGGAAGTTACAGATAAAATCTCACTGTAAAGTACTCACGACATCTACATTTTTATTTATAACACAAAATTATTTGAACCGATAAAATCTCACTATAAAGTACTCACGTCATCTACATTTTTATTTATAATATAAAATTATTTGATTCTCATCACATACTAATTAGTCTTATTTAATTAATTTGTGTTTTGAACTTATTTTATTTCTTAGTTTTGCTCTTATTTTCATTCATTTTAATGGGTATACATAACAGCTGGAATTACAAAAAAAAAAAAATCAAACCCACAATTTTCCAATTCATAAGAATTATTCACGTCATCAAATTACAAAGCCATTGACAGTTTTACTCTTAATTAATACTTACCTTTTTTGCTAACCTTTAATAAGGTTCTTAATATAAAAATTAGTTGACTAATTTAAGTAATTTTAAAAAATTAATTATGTTAGTTATTTGTCATAACTATGTGTTATTTTTTCTAAAATAATCTTATTATTAGCTAAAACTACCATTTAATAAAATATTTAACATATGCAATTACGACAAGAACTGCCTTAAAAAAATAGATAAATATAAAAGATAAAAGAGGTTGAGATATTATATTTAAAATAAAATTAAATATAAAACTTGTTTTTATATTAAAAAGCGGATGTAGTATAGTTTAGTTGAAAAAAAAATCCCTCCTTACTGTATAGCCTTGTTTCTTTTCAATCATTTGGCCCTTTTTGTCAAAATTAAAAGCCGTCGAGTCATTGAATTCTCCGACTGTTTTGTACTACCTTCTGTCTTTGATATAAAATCCTGTTTGATTTTTATTTTGATTTTAAATATAAGACCCCAATCTACTTTGTCTCTCATATTTATATATTGTTTTGAAGATAGTCCTTCTTATAATTGTAGTTTTAGCCAATATATTTAATTAGTAAGGGTATTTTAGGAAAGACAATACCTATTTATTAGAAATAACTAATTCAAATTTTTTTTTAATCTTCTCAAATTAATCAACTGGGTTTTATAATGAGGACCGGATGTAGTATTTTTATAGATTAATAAATTCAATAATTATATAAGTTTATAATGGGGGACCTTGTGCTATAATAGTAGTAGTTATTGTCTTGAGCTAAATTGTACAGCCACCTTTTTGTAATCACCACTCCTGCTGGTTTCTGTGCAGAAAATTCCAAAACATGGCCAACGAAATACACCTCATGTGTCCTCTCGTGTTTCCCACCCCTTTTCCCCTTCCTTGCTTTATTGGTGGGCCCCAATTTCAGGCCGCAATAAAATGCAGCCCCCGCGACCGCGAACCTAACAGGTTCCAGTCCCATATGATGTTCAGCACCATGAATCATGTTTCAACACTTCAAAATTATTTTCCAAATGCATCTAACATCTAAAAAAATTTTGTATTATATCTAATACCTTAAAATATTTTTTTTTAAGTAGGTTCAGTATTTTAAAATATTTTTTGATATATATAACACCTTAAAATATTGTTTTAAGTGTGTTTAGCACTCAAATTTTTTTTTTGGTATGTCTAACACCAAGGCAAAAAAAAAAAAAATTCAGGATGCTAGATGCACCTAAAAATATTTTTGGATGTTAGACGTATTACAAAATATTTCAAGGTGTTGGATATAGCTTCATGTACCTTGGTAGATATTTATCTTTTTAATACTTCCTCCTTCTATTTTTAAAATAAAAATTAGGTAAAAAATTAAATTTGATTTTAAATACAAGACCTTGATCTACTTTATCTTTCATATTTATAACTTTTTTTCAAATTAATTCATCTAACTTCTAAACTAATGTAGGATCTAATGTTATAGTAGTATAATAGTATTTTAGAGAGATCATTTTATATTTGTTATAATTAAATGATTGATTTGATTTTCTTAATTTACTCAAATTAATTAACTAGTTTTTATATTAAGAATCATATATGTATTATTTACAAATTACAGAGTATATTACAGGAAAATGGCTATGAAATCAAAAAAAATAATCATTAAAAAATTCTAATAATAAATGAATAATAAATATTTTATTATCATTTTCTGAATTAAAACTTACCATTAACTTCTTGTGAAAATTTTTTGGTAGGCATATTCTTTCTTTAGCACTAATGATTTTTCCTATATTATTATAAGGAGAATTGCTATACAATCTCACACAAGCACAGTAATAACTAAAAGGCCTTTTTAGTTGTGAATATGCTAATGCTACTCACTTTTGCCAGTAGCCTTACAATACCTCAAGTTTATGGTATAAAAGTTAATTAAGAGGTTATATTTAATTCTAAATATAATATATTAATTTGTTTTGTTTTCTAAATTTATAATTTTTTTAAAATATCCCTATTATTGTAAGAGTTTTCGCCAAAAATAATTCTAACGCATGTGAATACAAATAATAATTTAAAAAAATTAACACATATTTATTATAAATAACTAATTTAATTAATTATTTATTATTTTTAAATTAATTATACAACTCTTATATTACGTATTGAGCTTAAATATAATTCTTTGAATTTTAAGATTAATAGACTTAAACAAAAACAAAAATTCGCCACAAGTTATCTGCACAAATGGTGGTTTTGCATAATTCAAGCCTGTTTTTAAATTTATTTCTTACAGCGTCGGGGCCTGGCTGGTCTCCTCTCTCACGACACTACCCGATTACTGCCACGTGGACATCGAAGTTCGTGGCCTCAAAAAAATATCCTACGCTCCTTCGATTCTTGCCTTCTTATATACTCTGCTCTTGCAGGGGGGGCTCCCTCGATCTCTCTCTCGTGGAATTCAATTCCACTTGCCCTCAGAAGTTCTCTGTATTAGCTATTTCTATAGCTCCAAGCTTTCTGCGATTGGCTTCTCAAGGAGGCTGAGGAATTTCTGCTAGACGGAAGCGAATCAACCTTTTATTTCTTTACTTTCTTTGTTTTTGTGGTGGCAAAGAAGAGAATCTCTAGGATTGTGGCTGAGAAAAAAAGATGAAGATTCAGTGCAACGTGTGTGAGGCGGCGGAGGCGGAGGTTCTGTGCTGCGCGGACGAGGCGGCGCTATGTCGGCAATGCGACGAGAAGGTTCATGCAGCTAATAAGCTGGCTACTAAGCACCAGAGGGTTCCTCTGTCTACCTCTTCCTCTCACATGCCCAAATGTGATATTTGTCAGGTATCTTAATAGTTCTCCTTTCCACGGGAATTCTCCAGGTTGTATAGAACTTTGTGTTCGTTGGGCTTCTGCGTGGAGTATTTCCTGGAGCTAGTATTTAGAAGCCTCTAGCAACGTTACTTTTGTTGGATTTTTCATACTTTATCTTCTTATTTTGTGCAAATTTTTATATCATATTAGTGATTGCTTGCAGATGTTTCGAATTTTGTATATACGTTAGTCATTAGTCCCTGATACGATCTGCAAGTACAGGGCTTTTTGGATTATTTTTATGATTGGACATACAAGTTCTTCTGAAGTGATAACATACGGTATCCATGGATTTTGTTGGAAGCGTAGATCTGGATGAAGTTCATATTAGTCTTTCTAAGATCTTTTTCTTCTGTTTTTGTTATTTATGTTGTGCTGGAAAATATATATGTTCTTTACCTGTTCTTTATTTATCTTAATCTTAATTGATAGTAACACTTTACATTCTGAGGATTGTTTAGTAGAATCCCTTTTTATTTTTGTAAGAGAGAACATTTGCTATGTTTGTTTGTTTATTTCGTTTCCAGTGATAAAATTTCTTCCTCTTGCATCTTGAGTTTCCTATTTTTTTGTGAGGTAAATTTCTTATTCTTATCGTACCTGAACATTCTCTCAACAGACGTAATTTTAATGAAGTTATAATTAATATAAGTTGAGTTTCAAAATAAAAGAACCATTTTATTCAGAATATAAAGTGCGATTCCTCGACTTTACTAAGAACTGTGTTGCTTTTTAACCCCGTTTTTATTCTTACTCAGCTTCTTGTTTGTTGCCCTTGTATTATTCGTGTCTCAATTCTCAACCACTCAAAACAATATACTAAATCTTTGTTATGATATTTCTTACATTTTAATTATGAAAAAAGAAAACTAAATTTACGAGTGAATTATTGCTCCTTTCACTTTCAACTTGTTCAAAGATCTTATGTGAGATAATCACGCCTCAATATGAGCGTTTCAATTGTTGTCAAGGGAAGCATGACTGTCATGTGAGATGCATTCTTTTCCTTGCAGATGAGACAGTATCCGAGAGTTGAGTCATTTAAAAGTGCTTCTTCTCCTTAGAAAATGTAGGATTTATTGTCAGCATTGTTGATGAATGAGAACCTTAACTTCTTATCCTTTCTGGTTCTACTTAAATAAATTAGGAGCCTTTGTCATTAAGGGCAAGCTTGTCACAAGAGCCTGCTATATTTTACAGGAAACAGCTGGCTATTTCTTCTGTCTGGAGGACCGAGCCTTACTATGCAGAAAATGTGATGTGGCAATACACACAGCAAATTCCTATGTCTCTGCTCATCGGAGGTTTCTGCTTACTGGTGTAAGAGTGGGTCTTGAAGCTACTGAGCCTGTTGCTCCATCGTCCTCCATGAAGTCAGATTCTGGGGGAAAAGTGTCAGATGTGGTATCTACTTCTATCTCCAAGAAGGTTTCTTCAACGCCTCAGCCATCTGAATACAATGAATTGTTACCTACCCAAGTTGGGGGAATTGAGGAGTTTCAACCAACCAAAGTGTCTTATGGTGGTGGTTCTACTAACTGGCCGCTTGATGAATATTTTGGTTTCAATGAATTCAGTCAAAATTTCAATTTCATGGATAATGCCAATGGTCCATCCAAGGTATGCTTGTGCTAGCTAAACAATAGCGTCCTTGAATTGTCTATATCCAAGTCAAGGCTGTTAATTGTATGTTAGTGCCTCCAAATGTCATTGGTTGCTCTGTGGAGTCTTTATCCGTCTAATTTTTGGATTATAATTATGGGTATATTTAATAATTGATAAGCCTGGACACTGCTCTCTTTTACGTGCATATGCACTTGCTCACTTGTGAACATGATTTGGCAAATCTCACATCATTCGTGAATGTATTTTGTCCTATTATACGACACTACAGGAAAATATAGGTTCTTATTAGTGTGTAGAGAAATCATCTAAGAACATCTAGATTTTTTTCTCATGAATGTATTTTAAATGAAGGAATTTTGTGGCCATGGTTTTGGTAGCAGAGGTGGAATGGGGCTGTGAGGAACTGTGGATATGCTATGGATTGATTAAAGAGCTTGTTCTTGTGAATTGCTTTCCTAGAGCTTTGTTCTGAGAGGGTCAGAGAAATGATATAACCTGAAATGCTTCAATTGAGCAATATAGGATTATTACTTTGGGGAGTTGGTGATGAGATTTAACCTTGAGTTCTGTTTTTCATTTCTCTCTTATTTGCAAACCTTTCTATCTGTGAAACACTGGACCTTTGAGAACAATGGGTCTTCAGTTATTAGAGCCTGTGGGACGGTGGAGAAAGCAAACAGCACAGTTAGCATGAATTTGGTTTAAGAAAGGGGGCTAGGTGGAGGAGCACATGGAAGCTAATGAGGAGTTCTAGAAGTTAGTTAGGCTGAAGGTTAATTATAGCTAGTCAGAGTGTGGGACAGTGAGAATAGGTGTGTGGGGCTAGTCTATTCTAAGTTGGGATGTTTTCTTTCTTCTCTCTTAGTGGTTTTATCTTCTTTTTGATAGAGAAGTAGAGATGCCTGGTCCTATTGGATAATTGCATTGTAATTTAACAGAAAACAAGTTCTTTAAGGGACTTGTGCGTAGTAAGTCAGATTCAAAGAACCTATCAGAAATTAATTTCTTTACCTGGGACTCATCTGAAATTTTCCCATAATGAAACTGGTTGGAGGGGATAATGACTCGCTGCTACAGCCTTGTAGAATGTAAATATGAATAATAAACGGTTGTCCCACACAAAGCCATATATTAATGCCTTCAAATTGCTTTATCATGACTGGAATAATGAATGCGGAAAAGGTAGTCTATTGGCTGTATCCGATATATGGTTAATATCTTCTCCGTATGACTGCATTTGCATACAATTGTATATTTTGCACATTTTACTTATTGTATTAACTTCAGGCACATTGCACAAGGCATGCCTCTGGTCTCCTATATTAAAATATATGTAAAAGTGTCCATGTGTGTTTATTCAAACGTGTTCTGAAATTTTAGATCAATGTGTTGTAACTCTCCATTCTAGTTGGGCATTTGGAGAGTTATCGTTTGTGATGTGTCCTTATATTGATAGCAAACAATGCGTCTGTGATTTCCCTTCTCACCTTCTGTTTTCCTAATGAGCTTTTGCAGGCTGAAAGCAGCAAGTTTGGGGATTCGGATTCTTCTGTATTAAGATCTAGTGAAGAGGAAATGGATTATGATGATCACTTGGGGTTTGTTCCGGATTCGTCTTGGACGGTTCCTCAGATCCCTTCCCCTCCTACGGCTTCAGGCTTATATTGGCCAAAAGATCCTCGATATTCATCGACTAATAATGCTATGTTTGTTCCTGACATATGTTCTCCTCACATCCAACAGCCTCTTTATGCTCAGAGAAATAGTACGTTATCAAAGCGGCGAAGGCGACAGTAATGTCTTTTCCTTAGAGACCATTACTGCGGTGTCTTAGGTTTTCTGCTCTTTTATTCTGTGTTATCCTGGGATGCAAGCTTTATAAGCTGTCTTAGGTTAGAGAAGTTTAACTTTAGCAGCTGCAAGTTTATGTTCAGGGTTGTCTTGAGTTTCTTATGAGTGTGCACCATTAGCTCTACATTTCGCATTGGGAACTAGCTGAAGAAAGCAGCATTAATAAAGGGAGTGTAAAGTACTTTTGTTGCTGCAACATTCTCACTTCAGTAGAAGAATCCACTAGAGATTTATTTATTTATTTATTTGGCTATGGTAGTGATTTTTTCCCCAATATTGGCCTTGTGTTAGTTTAGTTGTCCTCCGCAGAAAAGGTTCGAGTTATTTGGTTTCTTTGGGCAGTCTTTTATTTTTTTTTGGCGTTAAATCTCTTGAAAATATTAGCTTTCTAGTCATTTGGTTTAACTAATAATTCCTTACGGTGATTAACTTTGAGATATGGATTGTTTTTGTCAGAATAGAATGATGAGATATGCGTTTTAAAATTTTCCATGGCCACTTTGCACACTTGTTGATGAATATATTTAAGAAATTTATAATTTATGAAACTAGCTGAAATTCAAATGTCCAGGCCGCCGTTTGATGAGTGTATTCTTCTAGAAGCATCCAGATTGTTTGAGAGAAAAATCAGGAGTTTGATCAAAGTCTTCAATATTCTTATCTCAAGCCACTAAATCCATGCATTTGCATGTTATTGTTGTTTGAATAATAATACCAAAAGGCCAAAAATATCTTCAACAGTATGAAAGGGGAAGAACCGGACCATGAACTGTCTCCATCTTCTCCACAAATTCTCAAGAGCCGGACGTGTGACTGAGAATGCGACACAGCAAGGGGGTCAGTGTGGGGTTTTACGTTATGCTGCTTGTGGCCCTTTCTGAGCCACAGGTTGAGTCAGAAAATATGATTGTGGGTGGAGTCACTTGTTATTATTAGAATCAGATTCACGTCTGGGGTTGACTTTGCGCCACACCATCCGCAAAAAAAGTTGTCTTTTTTCCCAGACAATATCTCAGTGAAGCCGGTGAGAAATGGGTCAATTTTCAATGGAGCTTTCACTCAGTTCCCTTGTCGCTCCAGCAAGTTCCGTATCTGGTAAAGGCAATTCTTAATTTTATTTTTTGTTAGGATTTTTCTATGAGCTGTCCATGTCTTGTAATGATTTATTTGAATAAGACGTCCCCCCCGAATTTAATTATTGTTGAATAATTCTTAAGGACATCCTTTTATATTCAAAATGAGTGACTTTAATGTCACAAAAAAAGTGACTCTAATGAAATCCTTTTTTAATTCACAATATATTAATTTAGGTGTGCTCCTGACATTTAAGTCATGTGCGCTAAGCCATACTCTTCTGATTCTATTTATAAAGTAGGGAGAGGAGACATTTTTTGGTTCTATTTAGCGGGTATTAAGAGAAATTTTTTGCATCGATGCACAATTTCACCCTTCATTTATTATTGTGTTCACGTTATTTATATGAGGTATAATGTATATTAAATAAGGATAAAGTTAGAAATTTATTGAATTTTAAATGAGAATTAATTAAGTTTAAGGTTTTTCTTAACCTATATAAAACATGTTAAAAATAACTTATAAATAAGACCAGAAAAAATTATGTTATAAAACTAGGTACTATAAACCCGAGCGTGCCTGGAATGCACTGAGTAAGCATGATCCACACTCGTTAATGAAATTGGGCTTTTGGGTTTTCATGTGTTTGGTCCATTCCGTTAGGGATGGTGTCAATCACATCCAACACCTTCGTATGCATATTTCTCCCCATTAAAGAAAGGCGCGCCAAGGTGTCTAGTGAAAACATACTCTTTTCATTTTGACATTAGATCTATTATTTATGACGACAGATATATATACTTTCTCAAATCCTCCGATTCTAATTATAAAAGCTAGTAAAAAAAATTGATTTGATCCTAAATACTCCTCCGGTCCTAAATATAAGACCCACTTATATTTAGGACCGGAGGAGTATAATATTCCAGTCAAATTTGTCTCTCAAATTTGTTATGTTTTCTAGACTATCTCTTGTTAATTAACTGCACATATATATCCACAAGAACATATAGTATCCTTGTAAATCATTCATTTAAAAGGTAACCAACGCATTGACAAATAACTAAGATAACTAGTAAATTTTTTAATTTTTACAAATTAATTACTCCTTCGGTCTTATATTTAGGACTGGAGGAGTATTTAATTCTTATGTTAAGAAGAAATACTATTTATAAATCTTAAGTAGTATGAGGTAAAGCCTAAATTCTTAAAAAGTTATAAATATGGATCCAAACGAATCTGAAAAGTTCACAAACTCAGATTACATCGGGAATTATTATAGCATTTCAATAATTACTCGTCTTGTTTCTTTCCTTCTTCTTTATCTTCATCCTCCTCCTCTTCTTCTTCATTACTCCCATCACTAGAACCTTTCAAAGCTTCTTCAAGTATGAGCTCCAAGAGCTTCTCATACATAGCAATTGCAGACTCCAGCATATTAATGGCTCTCCTCTTATCTTCTTCCACCACTCTCAGCACTTCTCCAACCTCCATTATCTTCTTCATTGACCTAACCACTTCTTCTTTCAACAGCTCTGATGAAGTCAACCTATTACTGCAACCACCACCATTATCACTACTCTTCCCTTTACCTCTATATTCAGTAATCCCACTAGCCACTATCATATCACTGATACTTCCTTCCATTAATCCATTACTGTTATCTTTTATCACCATTGTTACTTCTTCTGTGTCAATCTCCCACATCCACACGCTACCATCTTCACCTGCAGACACCAGATTCCTCCCTTCATTCACCACAACCACTGATTCAGTGGACCCCACGTGGCTTTTGTTCCATTTCTTCATCAGTTCTTGATCATCATCAGCTTCGTTGTTGTTATTCTGTGGTTTTCTGGGTTTTTTGGCCTTATTCATTGATGCTTTGTAAACCGACCCGTCTGATCCTGCAGCGAACAAGTGTGAGTCTGATGATGACAAGTCTATGGCCATGGCCAGACCATTTATGGCACAAGGGAAGGTCACTGTGCGAAGGAGGGTTCCCTCTAGAAGATTCCAGAACTTGCAGGTTGAATCTAGCGAGGACGAGACAAGCATGGAGTTGCATAGCCCTATTCCTGTGCTCAAAGCTGTGACTGAATCTGAATGTGCCTTCTTCCAATGCTGCAGAATCAAGTCTTTTGAGCTTGAGTTTGAGTCTGATGATTCTACGATTTGAAAAGTTGGGATCACCATAATGCTTCCATCATCACTGCCTGAAATCACAAAGTACCATATATGTTAACCAAAGTTAATAATATATATATATTTATATATCAAACATATATACCTGAAATTACCAATGACCCATCAATACTGAGTTGGAGACAAGAGATGGGTTTTGTGTGAGCAGGAAAAGACTTGATCACATTCCCAGAAGGAACAGAGAAGCAATGGATGGTTCCAGACTGGCCTCCGGCGAAGATATAGCCGCCGTCGGGAGTAGCAGCAAGTGGGGCAACAAACTCAGGCACGGAGAATCTGTGAAGCACACTTGAAGTGTGCCAGTTGTAGAGGTGAATGGACACCGCGGCCGTGTCGGGTGACACATGAGACGCGGCAATGAAGCTATTTCCGGCCACAGTGAGGCCCCGGCGGGGTGACCGTGTGCCTGGAAAGCGAGTGACTTCAACCCCAGTGGAGGCATCGTAGGCGACGATGGGGCCATCTGGAGAACTGGTAAGGACAAGTTCGTAGGAAGAAGATGACATATTGTAGTTGTGTGAGTGAGGATTACGGAATGAGAAGGAACAATGCTAATATACTAATATGGTAAGGAAACGTGAGGAGCATGTGTGGGATTTTTGACTAATGTCATTAGTATTGCGGATCTCTAGGGACATAATGAGGACTAGAGAATGAAAAACACATGTAATATAAAATTTATAAAAATTTTCGAGATCAAATATATAGTACTGGTCAATAACATACCGTGAAGAATGTGACCGGTGAAAGATTGCAAATTATGCTATATACTCCTCCTCCATATCTAAAAGGGTGTTTCCAGAAGTGCTTTTAAAAAGTATTTTTCATAAATCGAGACAAACTCTTTCATATATTTGCTTCGTAGATCGTAAAATCACTTTTGAAACCATAGCTTGGTTGTAACCCAAACACCCCCTAAATATAAAATTTTTTTATAGTGTAAAGTACATTACAAAAAGGGTCTTATATTTAGGACCGTATGAGTATTATTTTTTTTAGTCAATATCTTAAAAAAAGCAGCTAACTTTATTTTTAGAAAAATAACTGGTTTTTTTTTTTTTGGGCCTGAACGAGGTACCAGAAATTTGGTTAAGGATACGAGTGAAATTTATATTCTGCACAGCGGAAGATGAGTGGCATCTGCTCAAAGATCTATACTTTTTAAGTACCTTTGAACAATAAATTTTACAATGAAAGATTTTTTTAGCGATTTTCTTCAATTTTAACATCTTTCCATTTATAATAATAAATGTCGACTACCACATATATAATTTATTTAGAAACACTTTTCTCAACTGGCTTTTTTTATTATTTATATATATTGTCTTTTTATAAAAACAGTCAATGGATGCATACGTATAGAGAGATATGAGAAAAAGATATGAAGAGGATGCAAATCTAGCGTTTACTAGGATGCAAGTATGTATATTTCAGTCTTGGCTTATCTTAACGATGTTTCTTTGCAAATCCTCCTTAGATTAGACTGGAAGTCTCCTTTTAAATTTAAAATATCAACTTCTTTCATGCATATTTATATTTTTTGTTTATATAACTTAAATACATGTATACGCATAAACATATCAATACTAAACTCAAATCTAAAACCTCATTTAAGTATGACGGATAGTGCTATCATTGTAGCAGTTTGTAATTGATAAATTCTTTTATATTTATATGAGTATAGACAGAAAACTCTACAAGTAATTTGGCAAGTCTCTCCAAGTATGTTTACATGTAGATAAAAATAAGTGGCACTTTGTGTTTTGCAAACAAGCAGTTTTTGTAGATTTTATATTTTTTTTATAGAAGAGTTTAGGAGAGTTGAGTCCTAAAGACTCATAAGGATTAGGGCATGTCTCCAAGCTCGAAAAGTATTTACAGAAATACTTACAGATCGCTCACCAATAAAGTTTTCATATCGATAATGGGATTTGAACTTACAACCTTATGGGTTATACACCGACTCCTTATCAACTGGACCAAGTTTTGTTGGCAATTTTTATATTTTGTAAGGGATATTGATATATAACCAATGGGTTTCGGTATTGGAATTTTTCTTTTTGTTGGTTAAATTAAAATGCATATATTCTGCGATAAGATGTACTACTCATCTCATGAATAATATACTATCTCCCTTCCTCAATATAAAATTTAGTTTGTAATTCAATTTGAACTACAAACTAGATTTTATATGAAAGACTAGAGGTAGTAACTTATGATAAACCTTATAGGATTGGTTATATAAGTATAAATAAGAGTACATATATAAGTTTCTTTATTTGAGTTGTACTTTGGCAAGATTGACAGGGTCTTTAGTACATGATAAAATGGACAAAATTAATTAATAAAACAATAACTCAAAAGAATAGAGATTAACAAGGAATAATGATTATAATGGTTAAAAAAAAGATTGTCGTTATTACTTGGCAACAACCTATTATATACATCGTGGATGGCATGAAAGAGCACTCACGTAGGTAATAACGAGCCATGCCAACCTTTGTATTAGCTGTCACTGAAGTCCAAGGGACAACATGATCAGGCTTTTCCTTAACTTTCTCTTGCTATTGATATGCTTAAACCAGTTTAACTTCTGATGTAATTATATATTTGGAAAAACCAATAATCATTCTATTGGTTAATAACATCCCTTGAAGAATGTGATTGATTCTTGGGCTGCGTTTCTTTCTCACTAAACATGCCCTTCACTGTGTGTGAGATCCAATCCAACTAGGTGCCAGAAAATAAAGACCGCACACTTTCAAAACTCTCCTAGTATGACACAAACAAGGTGAATAAAGTATGACTGATAAGCATGATACCAAGAATACAACAATCGATTACATGGATTGTATGGTGTCATTGTGTTCCATCAATAACTAAACATAAAGATTCAAACAAGTAGAATATGGATTTAATAGCATTTTTTTAAGGGATCCCATTTCATGAAATTTAGTACTTGATTTTCCCATGAAAACAAGAATTGGGAGTTAACATTTCATGACATCTGGTACTTGATTATTAGGAATTGGGTGTGAAGAAGTTGAACCAAACAGACTCTAAATGAAATGAATCTCCACCAGTTGAATATCCAATGGAAACTGCTATATTTATTAACATTAACCTGACAACAAGAAAATTTACATCTACAACAGGATGAACCCAATAGTTATTTTGCTATCATAGCCACTGTCATTCTTTGTCATAATGTGGTCAATGAAACCTCGTAACAAACAAAATACCCAGTTTCACCAGGAAAAATGGCTATGGTTGTCCGCATTGAGCTTGCACATGATCTCAGAAACATGAACTCCCTGGAGTGTTTGCATTTGTTTTTCAGTTTTATATGGCAAGTGTATCCATCCACACTGATCTATTGCCATAAAACAAATGGGATGATTGATCTCCTTCTAAAGCTAGCAGCGAAATTAAATATTCAACTTCTGGAGTGCTAGCTGAAATAAGATTGCCATGAAGCTGCCAATCGATATGTTGATGACATTGACCACATCATTGGTAAGCTGCAGAACAGGATAGAATAAACATACAGGACCAGATATACAAGTCAAACTATTTAATTAAATCCAGCCTACTTTTCATTTTCCAACATGATGAATAAATAAAAGAGAAATGGGTCTGAAAATATGATTTGCACCAGAGCAATGGTATCATAAAATATATCGATATCACCTGAACTTGCCATGTTTCACGATGAAATTTTATTTTTGTTGATTTTGGTTTTGGTTGGGATTTGAACTCAAAATCCTTAAGCCCTAGAAACAAGTCTAGAGATACTGAGTAAAGCTCATTGATAGGCTCACATTTGATTATTTTAGTACTTCTTACAACCCTACCTTCAGGTTCCCGCTTTAAAAGCACAAGACCTAAAAGAGGCAGGATAGGAACATAAGGCAATCCTGAAGGTATCATAACATGAATAATTTTATGAACCTACCCATTGAAATCCTTTCTTTCCTTGAAGTGCAGCACCTACGAAGCTCTCGCTGAGATTAGCAATCTGAGAAGCTAGAACACATATAGCTGCTTCATGTGTATTGATCTGTTTCATGAAAAAGCATTTACAAGTCATTAGCACATCCCAAATAGATTAATACATGTCATGCAATCCACTCTTCTTAACTCCCCACACCATTAATGCGCATCAAATTTCTCTCACTATTTTTTGAGACCAAAAATGGCATTAGTGCACATCTATTCTGGGCATAGCCGATAAAGTCATAGACTCGAGGGATACATAGGGATCAGATAACAGAAAACAATATTGGTTTCCATGATTTTATATTTATATGTTATTCAGAAGTCCATTCAGCGAGAGAGAGGATAGGACAAAGTATCTACATATGTGCACTAAAATAGAATGCCAAATCTTGAGGAAGAGGCCTCTTAATTTTCATTTTTTGGTTCTTCCGGATATTTTGTTAATTAAAGCATAGCTGGGGAAGCAACATACTAGAACAGGCTCAGGCTGAGCTTCAATTACTACCCCTGAGCTCATCCCATATTTTATCTAATTCAATAATATATGATATGACATCACCTGGAAAAATTAATCTGCCTGCATTATGAGATGCACGCAGCAAATGTAGTTCAGTCATGTGTTAAAAGATTTTCAAACAAAATATACATTTTAGCCTTCAACATGCATTAATCTCATCTGCGGATTCTAACCCACTTTAAACTAAAGAAAAAGTGCTGCAACCAGCTGCCGAGTGCTGGCAGCTCTTCTGGCCAGAACTTTGACATGTTTCAATTAGTTATATCATAAGCCAGGTGATTTTGAGTATACATAATGTCCCATTAGGTTGCTGAAAGGAAATGCATTCCCTTGCAAGAGAATCAAGACAAACAATGTTTATCATACCCTTATTATCATTACTAAACAACTATTTTTCTATTACTTTTTCCCTACGATAACTAACAAATTAGGAAGCCCAATACATGATTTGGATGAATCCTACCATGACTTCCTGTTTTGTCCAAGTACCCAAATGTCCATCCAACATGTAAGGCACGCTTGTCCTTTTTTGCACTAGTTAAATGCTAAACAGTTTCCAGGATTACAGGTTAGAAGGTTTCCAGAATTCCTATCAAGAAACAACACATGCAAAGTTAGAAATTTGAGAAATACCTTACCCAAGAGACAACTGAGAAAGGCAAGAACTATAGATGCTAGAATCCCTGCTGAAGTTCCTTCAACACTCACAGCCCCTTCTGTTCCTCTCGGAACTATCTTAAATGTTGTGACTAGATACCTGGACATTATGCAGCACACATGTTACAACTGAATTTCATAGGAAACATGGACCAAAGAACACTGGAAGAAAGTGAAACATAAACTACCAGGTTTGAATAACTCATGTAATCAGGCCAATAGTAATTCTGTATATCAAGCAAAATATACATGTAATTAAGAGCAATCAACATCATCCATCCAGTGCCCAAAAAGGAGAGATGGACATGTAACCATATTTTATTCATATCAACAAGGCCATCAACCTCACAAAAAGCTAGGAAGCTTGGGGATTGACATGGCGATGCAAAATTTATGTGTCCATATGAAATTTCGACTTTGAAGTGTCACATCTTATCTAGTGTGAGTATCTGAATTGTGCTGGGCGCAGAAACAACCCTGTTTTTGAGGCTTGATTGAGTATTGAAAAAGCAGAAATAGGGTGGAGTGCGGTGGTCATAATGGGTCAGGTGGGGCGGGATGGGGGAGACAATCCACTCCATAGATGGGATCTTAATTTAAAAATTGGATGGCAATCCATCCCCACACTGATTAAGTCATATCTGCCATCAATGAGGCGAAGTGGGTCTAGATGGTGGAATTTTTAGTATTATCTTTGTAATGTTAGTCCTTTAAAGTAATAGGCAAGCAAATGGAAAGGGTTCAACAAGAAAAAATTATATAAATCCCAACCCACACCCATGTTGGAGAGGTTTGAAAATTCAGGCAAAAAAAACCTCCCACGCCACCCCGCTCACAAACCATCTTCCCTTCCTTGCAGGATAAGAGGGTAGGGGAAAAGAATCATTACCGCATATTCAGCCCAAAAAAGGATTGAAGAATATAATGACGCTCAGAAATCCAGAGACCTCAAAATCCTTCAATTGAGACCTAAATAACTACAGGCAAATTACTGATGTAACAATAGAATAATGCCAGGTCCGAACCGGAGTTCACTACTCACGTTGTTTTGCCATATGCCTTCCCGATCTCACTTGAGACAGTATCACTCAACTTCGTACAAAAACTGGCAACAAAACCAAGAAGCCATAGCTGGGAAAATGCCTCTCCCCCAAATTCCCAAATTGAGAGCAAAGCAAAAAGGCAGCCAGCTGCACCGGATCCAACAACACTACCAGGACCTCTTCGTCCTTTTCTTTTCTCAGCAATTCCCTGAGCCTCTTTCTGAGCCATCTTGACCTTCGTAACTGCTGTACCCTGTGAAAGCTCAAATAATTAACTCCAATGAACAAAGAAATGCATAGAACTCAATGAATAACCAATTTGACATCACAAAGGCATCAGAAATCAACATTCTCAGGTCAGCTAATAAATAAAGACAAAAAAAAAAAAAGAGAAATTGGGCTTACAATGATGAAATAGGCAGAAACGATAAGGAACCCAGAAGGACCAAAAGCGCGCCAAGTGAGTGTTCCGAGAAGAAAAGCAGCACCAATACCAGAGAGAGACAAGCCAGCAACCAAAAGGGGAGAACCCAAAAGGAAGATCAAGAGATTGGTAGCAAGAGCAGATTCCCACGTGGGAGGAGACGATTGGATGAGAGTAATAGCACTTCCAACAGCTTCTTGAACATTGCTGACATGATAAGTCAACCTCGGGAGTCTCAGCGAACTAGAGTGAAGACGAAGATTGAGAATTGGGGGTTTTGGGGAGAGAGAATGAAGAATTGGGTACGAAGAACGACGAGGTCCCATGGGAAAGGTCGAAGGGAAAGTAACGAGCAAGGTTGAATCGGCCATAATGCACATTCTTTGGATTTGTGACAAGCCTGAATGTGAAGGAGATGCGCGAGAAGATCTTGGGGAGGAGACTGGAGTTAATCAATGTGTGCATGGAAAAGGATTTGACTTGCGAGAGGGCTCCATCGAGATTTCACAAGGTTAATGGCATCAAGAAAATTGGTCAAACTTGTCATAAATATCAATAAATATCCATTTCAGCGTATCGATATTATACAATTTACAACACATTACCGCGTTAATAAATCTTGATACATTTCTTGGCAAAAGAAAATATTGATACATTTCATTTCATGTATCTAAGTTTTACATGACAAATTTGTGAAGAATTCGGTCTAATCACCTTCCTTTGTAAATGTTTACGAGAAAGCAATCATCGTAAAAAATCTTGAATGAAGAGTTTAAGGACTAGAACATAAGTTTAAGCCCTTAGAGTTGAACCATCATAAGTTACCACCTCCGGCACTTATATTAAGCGCTAGTTAACTAATTTAAATAAATTAAGAAAGTTTGTTGAGCTAATTATTTATAATCATTAGGTGTTGTTTTTTTTTAAAATACCCTTATCAATTAAGTACACTGGCTAGAACTTTATTATTATAAGGATAAAAAAAATAAATATGATAGATAAAGTAGATTGTGGTCTTTTATCTAGGATTAAAATAAAAATCAAACACAAAATTTAGCGATTAAAATTCTAAATAATTAAAACTATAAAAATAATAATTCTAGTGTATCAAAGTTTATAAATTGAATTTTAAGTGCGTGCATTGGGGTTAAAATTTAAAAATTAAATCATAATTGAGTCAAAATGACATAAATAAATATTATTATAAGGATTTAAAGAACTTTTTATGCCATCTGCCAACCCACTAGCCTCTCCCCTCTTTAATCCATCCCCTCTTCAAGTAAAAGAATTTGTCGACTAAAATAAATATTTTCTATGACAACAATCTAACAAAATAGAATTCTAGAAAGAGACTGTAAAAAGAAAGGCATTGAGCTTTTCCATAACAACAATTGACAATAACCTTCGAAAACAACCCCCTGACTGCCCTTGGGATGGAATGCCCTTGGGGGAAGAGGGGAAGTAGAAAGAGGTAGTAAGCAAGAAACGAGCTTAAACGAGAGAGGAGAGGAGGGATTCTCATGGCCTAAGCTATCTAGAGAACCACAAAAGAGTGTCAAGCAGAAAAAAGATGAAGCTCGAGGGAAGTTATAAAAGACGAGAGGTGTTTTCTCAGGGAAAGTATCATTGCAACCCAAAGAAGAGGAATGGATGCTACCGGACGAAGAGATGGAAAGCCAGACACAGAAACTAAACATGTCTTATTGAGAAGACCTTAAACCACGAGTTAATGAAGAATCTAGAGCAAGGAAGAACCAAGTGGAGATGATCCTTAGGATGGAAACTTGTTCTTTCCTAAGGAAGAAGCTATCACCAAGGGCGTCACAGTCACTAACACTGTGGCAGGTCCGAGTATTGACTTTTCAGAGGAAGAAAGAAGAAGATTGGAATATAAATGGCAGAATACTTTGATTATAAAACTTCTGGACAGAACTCTGGGATTCATGCAATTGAGGAGGAAGATTCAACAACTCTGGGAGAAGTCCAATAGTGTGGAACCGAACAATATAGGGAATGGGTACATGACGACCACCTTTAAAGATGTGGATGACTACTACTTTGCATTGGAAGGCAAACCATGGATAATATAGAATAGTTACCTAACGGTGCAAACTTGGAAGAGAAATTTCAGGCCATGGGTTGAAAAGATCCAAAGGATCGTAGTGTGGGTAAGGATACGGGGACCCCCTGAGATTATTATCATAAAAAGTTCTTTTATCTATCGAGAAATAAGATTGGCAAAGCTATCGGGATGAAGAAATGACGCTCATGAAAGCAAGAACAATGTACGCCAGAATGTGCGTGGAGATCAATTTGAATCCCCCTACTCCCGCCATATGTTGTGGATGGGAATCAAGAGAGGATTGTATATGAGGGACTGCCATCGATTTGCTTTCACTATGAAAAATTCAGACATAACAAGGAGCACTGCCCTCAAGAGAAAGAAGTAGAGGATAACCAACAAAGCTCGCCGGTAATGATGATTGCTTAGAAGCCAAAAAGAGGTAGAAAAGCAGGCACGAAAGAAGGGAAGGGGACAAAGCAGCAAATAAAGAATGTTAGAGGAGAGACAGAAAAAGCAGTAAAAGCCTCTAGATTTGAAATTCTTGAGTCAAAGGAGGAGTAAACGCATGTACCATAAGGGAGGAAGAAAGTAGGAGACCCCTAAAAGATATCTCTAATAGGGTGGCAAAAATTGGTGAAAACATTACGGAACCAAGTGACTCGAGGAACCGATATGACAAAGTGATAGTGACTGATATGGAAAGTAAGGGAGGAAAAGCGAAGTCAAAAAAGAAGCAAGATGTAAAAGGTTAGAGGAGTGGTGAGATGCTAATGGAAAAAGAGGGAGGACAAAAGAGTAAAAGAGAAGAAAATGTAGGTAGAAAAACTCATAAAAGAAGGACTAGTGACCAGACCCACTACTAATCTGGGTTGAGCAACAGGAGGGGAGAAAAAGAACAACAGTTGGAATTAGGCTTATCTAACAAACAAGCTAATGGGCTGAGTGAGGTTAAAAACATAGAAAGAGTGGACAAAGGTAGAGCAGAAATTGGAGATAAACGTGTCACACCTTACTTATATAATACCTTAGCATTTATTTAGAACCATTCTAGACCACTTTGGATGGTCTTAAGCTTAAAAATTTCAATTTGGACGTTAATTTTCGGAAAATTACTGTTCACTGTCCAGTTTTCAGATTACAGGTCTAACTTTGAAAAATCATAACTAATTCTAAAAAAATCGTATGGAGGTGTTCCAAAATTTTACGAAAAGCTCTTTCAATGCTCTTTAAGGAAAAAATATTCAACTAAACTCATCCTCACTGAAAACATACAGTTTATTGGATTAAAATTACTATTCATTTGGTAAAATCTAGACTTTCCAGATTTTGCGCCTTAACTTCGAAAATTCATATCTCGTTGTATACACACCCAAATGATGTGATTTACCACTCATTTTAAAGCTTGGGATATGCATTATAAGTGTACCAAATTCCGTAGCTTAACTCATTCATATGATAGGTTGAACTGAAAGCTTGAAATTAACTGCTTCAGGACCTACGTTTTATCCCTTAATATCTCTTTACTTTGATTCTTTTTATTTCTTTGGCATACCTAACATGGGCTTACTTTTTCCCATTCATGCTCATATACTTTCATTCATGCCATAAACATCCTAAGCACATACATTGAATTGATGGCATTCATAACATAACTTACAACATAGGAGAATTATACATTGAATAATAATATCAATCATTAGCATTAATAATTCTTCACTTCTTCTCCTTGCTTCTCATGCCCTTAGTGCCAATCATTGATTTGACCTAAATGGTTGGTTAGGAAGGGGGTGAGATTCGGGGGAATCTCAGTAGCAAACATTACCACATACATGCATAAGATGGATGCTAGTGTATGGTATGTAGTTTTTCATAAACTTAAGTTAACTAGTGACATGCCATCATGCTTTATGCTTGGTATAAAAATGCATGGCCATGGGAACATATTAAAAATAGCATTTCCAGCAACAATCATCATGTCACAACATCATTCAAACAACAAATACAAACCAACACATAAGCATACCATGTCAAGCACATAAAGGGTAAGTTCACTACCTTGCACCTCAAGCTTTCCTCTTACTTTTCCTTTGACTCCCTTGACTTTCCAACCATGTGGGCATTCGGTCAACATCACTAAACATCCTCTTGGATGTTCCAAAGGTCCTAAACATAATCATAATGATGACACAATCTATTAGGACCATTAGATTACATAAAGTTCAAGACTAGCTTTCTTGAACCTCAACCCCTTTCTCTTAGTCTTAGGGTTTTCTTTCTAACTTTTCTAATATAAATCTTATCATTTTACATCCTTATGATCTATTTCCTATCAATTAGGACCACTTTAGATGGCTTTAGATTCAAGAATATCAAATCTGAAAATTTTGGTTCGCGGGTACTGTTCACGCAGAATCTCTAGAATTTTTGCAACTTTGAAAATTCATAATTAAATCTATAAAAATCCAAATTGAGTGCTTCCAAGTCTCACTGAAAGATTATTAAGTTAAATTTAAAGGAAAAATAGTTTCAGGAACCAATTCTATGCCGAACAGTACCAGAATTGTACAGAACTCGACATCCTTCCAAAAGCTTAACACTGTTTCCAGATTTCAAACCCTAACTTTGAAAAATCACCATAAATCGTACACATATCCAAATGAAGTGTTCTACCCATGGATTTAAAGCTCACAGAGTGTACTTTAAGCATGCCAAATTTCAGAACCAGATATGAACAGTAACTAATTCGAAAAAGCCATCAAATCAGCACGTAATTCTTCCAATTTTCACATAGATCCACTTGGATCTACCATACTTTGAGGTGTTCTAGCAAGATCTAACAACCAAACTCCCTTCCCCACTCATCAACCATTTCGACCAGCCATCAAAGGGGAGAGAAGATAGATTTTTCAACCTTAAAAGAGAAGGAAAACAAGACAAGAACACATCTAGAACCAAGATCTCACCTTGAATCCTTGATTGATGACCAAAGTTGATAGCTTTTCCTTGGTTTCCTTCAAAACCCTCTCTTTTCCCTCTTCCTCTCACTTGGACGAAATTCCATCAGCAATTAGGGGGAGAAGAAGCTCATTAATGTGTACAAAATATCCCTCCAACCATCATTAATGTTATGCCAAGTGTCATTAGCCTACTTAATCTTAATCCTCTCTCTTAATTAACTTAAATCATAATGTAATTAAATTCCAACGTCAAGATCCTCTCCATTAGTAGCTTGACACTTGGAAAGCTTTAATTACCATCCATTAAAGGCTTGACAAGTGGCGACTTGTGGCCCAAGTAAAGTGCAAGACTCTGATTAATATTTTATCGGTGCACTTTTACTCCGGGTTTAACTTCTTTTCTATAATTACAGTGCTCTGGCCTCTGTAATTATTTTCTGTTAGATCCATAAATTCTCTTTAATTCTAGAGAGTATCTATGAATTTTCTTAGCC